CTACTCCATAATAGCATATTGTTTCGTCATTACGTATTTCTTGGACTCTTATCCAATGACCGAATTCTATTACGCAACTATTTCTTCCTTCCATATGAGGGAATGGACGAATTAATTTCGCGCGTTTTACGCGAGGTGGTAAACAATTTGGTATGGACAGTTTCGGTGGAACATACGAAATCATTACAAGAGAACATGTACATAAGTAAATATTGAATCGTCAAATATCTTCTCGTCAAATATTTTTGTTAAGTTGACAACTACCGAACTGCTATTGTTGGGATCATAGGTGGCCATAATAATTCCAATGAAATTTAATTTAAGTCATTCGACTGTAGAGTATTTCATTTTAATTTATATTCCGTACATTTACAGTAATGAAGCTCGCTAATGATCTTTACCACGTGAAATATAAAGTAGAAATAAACACGGAGTACTGTAAAATTCAAGAATTTAATCTTAAATCCATGTAAATCGCCTACAACCCAATGATACTAGTTTAGAGTTAAAAAGAGCCAACAATTTACGTTCGAACACTTTGTCGCCTTACGTGCGACAGATGTAATTTAAAAATTGTAGAAAATACTTGTTCGACGAAACAATTGCTCGATCGATTTGAAAATACTTCGGTATCGCCTGGATTTTCGCTGTTTCTGAAATTGTCCAAAAGTTCGGTAATAAAAAAGAGAATAGGAAGATAAGAATGGCCAGTAGGAAATCCAACGGTAACGTTTTTTTGCGTCAAGTTCTCACTGTTGCTGTCGTATCGAGCAAATCTACCACAGGAAACTGTGTTCAACAAAGTGAGACCACATTGTTTGAACCGACGCGGCGCGCAGTGACAAACGAGCAGTCACTTCTTTCACTGCGTTACAACAATGAATACGATAATTACGGTTACTAAATATATCACACGTGTGACACTTATTACGATTGTTCTGTGTCTCAACCTATATTTGGAGAAAATGGTCCGCTTTTACGTAACGCCGGGTCAGTGAAATTAATTCGACGGAACAGTTCCTCGATGGATAAGCCACCGAACGCAGATTTCGTCTTCAACGAAGAAACGTTTAAATTTCGTTTGGAAGAAATATTTTATATTTTCTGCGTGTCGTAATCGATGATTAAACGTTCATATTGTTATTATTAATATCAACGTTTCAGTTAGGTTTGATTAAGTTTAACTTAACGTTGAACATCACTGAATCGTGAAGTTTGTAAAAAAGAAATCAAAACGAAGGACACGCGAGAACGTACATATCGAGAAGAAAACGAACCTTTGTTCGCGTAGAACGTGCTTGAATGAAAATCGTTCGAATCTGAAAAATGGAAAAAAGTTATAGGTCTATAGATAATATCGAAGAAAGTAATCACTCTGGTAAATCTAGCGTTAAAGAAGATAATCGATATTTGAATAATTATCGATACCTGATATTAGATCGTTGTATCTCGCGTTGAATAAGTATGTGGTTAAAAATTTGCACAAGTAACTTTTAACTAACACAGAGAAGTAGCAGTAAATAGATGGAATAAATTTGCATCTTTATTACATATCTATGAAGATATTTTCCCGAGGAAAAACATGAAAGAAGAAATGGTTCTGTGAACCAAGCGATTTTTGCATATGAAAGTAATAATAGAAAGAGCTATTTATCGTTAGGTTGAAATTAACATCATGTAATTGAATGTTAAGTAGATTCAATTAACTATACAAATGTCGGTACTTTCACAAGGAATCCTTGCAATGGAAACTTTCGATAAAAATAAATTCCACCGGAATAGCTTCGCGTTAATTCCCAAACGTTTCACGAGTGATCGAGTTTCCAGGATATGTGCGGAAAAAAGCGTTGGAAATATGGAATTCGCTTTACCAGTTTTTCCTTTTCTTTTTCGCGTCACAGCTCGTACAGGAGAGCATTAGAGTAATTAGAACGCTACGGTTATTACGAAACCCATTAGAGGAAATATTAATATCTACGTAATTTACCATAATTTATTGCTATAACGTAAAACCGATAAGAACATTAATTTCATTTAAAAATACAGATATAAGAGTAAAACATGTGTGAAACAAGAAACAAGCACCTATTATATATTCATCTAAAAATACTCGATCCAATTTTGTATTTTTTACTTATTTTATATCATTTTCTAGAAGAGATAACAAGCAAAAATAATCTTCTAAAAAAGCGTGAATTATTAAATCTACGCTAGAATTCGATCACGAAACGATACGTACTTGACGAGAATACGATGGAACCTTCGGTATCCGGTACAGTTAATAAAAAGAACGCTCGTCTCTTCTTCTAGTGATTATTTTATATTTCGAATAGAATGATAACGTTAAAAATAACAAAAAGCAAAATTTAACTTTAATCCAATATCTCTTCACGTACCTCTTTCTGTCTTTAAATCGTACGAATCTTTCACTACCTTGAAATTACGTTGAACTATGTTCTTTGTTTGTATTTTAAACCTAGCTTTCCTACCCTGATCTGACTTTCCTTTCCTAAATATCTCAATATAAAAATGTCTTCGACGTTGTACATTTTTGTTACATTCGCCGTGTCATTATCGTTGTCTAACTTTAAGAACGTTTCTCATTTCGTTTCAAAACTTAATATCGTACTTTCTTTCTCGACATTCCTCGTATCCCAAACGTTTCAGACTTTGAGCAGAATCTTAACGTACATTTTGTCCAAGTCAGGTAAAAGTCAAGCGTTTCGCAATGGCATTTCTCGCGATCTCAACGACACGTTACGCATGTCACACGCTAACACTTTTTCTCTGAGTTTTTGGTGCCGATGCCATTTATAAACCGGCGACACGAACATGGTAACCTTCGCCTATAACACAGCTCGTCAACCAGAGAATTATGCTTTATCATAGGCATCGCTGCAACCGGTTCCCCTGCTCCAAAACATTCGGATAGTTGGCGGCGAAATGACGACCTGCTGTATTAGTTACGTCACTGGTCCACACAACCGTGAACGTTAACGTGATTATTCGTCGAATTTATAGTTCGTGTTCGAGTTTTGTCTACTCTTGATGTCTCAAGTGGAATGTTTCCGCAGTTTGATCCGCGCTGTCGAAGTTTCTGCGATGTTTGCGAGCGTGTGAAGTTGTCCAAAGTTAGTAGAAAAAGTTTCATTCGAGATAAGTTGTCTGTGATATTTAGTAGAACCAAGTCGATTCTTTAAGATGGATATTGTTTCACAAAGTTCCGTACGGCTGAAATAATCTTCCGCTTCTTAACATTACTTAACTATTCCTTAGAATCGAAATTTTACTGGAGAGAAAATGTTTTTCATAAAGAGTATTATTGTATCTCATAAAATTTCGCGATGTTTTATCAACAGTTATGTACATTTAGCGATATTAAAATTCCTCGTGGTTGATGTCCTTTGAAATTGAAATATCATCCGATATAGTGCGCGTTTAAAATCAAACACTATGCACTTGGAATATCCGTGAAGGCCATTACTCTATAAAATCCCATGGAACTAATGTTCTGTGAAGTTGAAATTCCTTCAACGTCGATACTCTTTGAAAGAGAATTTTTCGTTTAAAACAAAATATCTCTGATATTAACGTTATTAGCGTCAACTTTAATTTAAGGAACTTTTGATATTATATGTTATGAAGTTAGAATTATCGTAAAATTCATATATAAATTTATATAACTCGTCGCTTAATTTTCCAATGGATCGATACAAATATATATTAACTATATCTGAAGATACTTATCTACATACAATATAACTCACGAATACGACTCTGAGAAATTAAAATCCTTAGTATTTTTTAAAATGAAAATTCCGTTAAACCGCTGTTCCGTACTACTGAAATTCAATGGAGTTAGTGGTCCACGAAATTAACATCCTGTAAGATCAACAGCCTACGATATTCAGATTCGGGATAATATAAACTCTTTTCGTAAAATTTAAATTTCGACAACGCCGCAAACGTTTTTAATTACGAATATATCATTCTGTCGTATTTATAAGAAAGTTTCAAGAAAGTTGATAAAGCACTCTGTTCCGTAAATGTATTCGTTGATCTAAAAGCTTGCTTCGACATCTTACGTACGACTACAGCGATGGAAAGATTCGATATCAATGAAAGACAACGACCGAACGATCGTGTCATGAAATGTAAAATACGAGGTAGATGCTACATAATGCTAGCGAATAAATAGTTGGATCAAACAATAGACAACGATCGGGCAAAAATAGATAGCCGGACGAGTTTCTCCGTAATACCGTTTGCTTTCTGCTTTGTGAAAATGTCCCGAAAAGTTTCAAGCGTATCGAAGATACGGGTTAATTACGCTCAAAAAGAACGAGGCCTTTTGTGTGGTTTGGAGGTGAGCACAGGTAAACCGTTACCTTAGAATCAACGTAGCTTTGCTACGATATAACGACCTCCATTATGCTTCTAACTAAATGATCGTACGCTTACCGGTACCAAGTGTTTTCTACGTAAAATCATAGCAAAACGAAGATTTAGCTACGTACTTTATTCGTCGAATATTCCAAGTGAGAATACAAAAGAGAATACGAAAGATTTCGACCAATTACGTTGTATCGTTCGATGGACAGATGTAGAAGCGGCCAATTTGTTTGAAGCTAACGGAATGTTATAGAAATAAAATTGAGAGAAATAGTAGAAAATAATACCGAGTATCGTACGTTTGGAGAAATTAGAATGATAATTACATTTTTTTACAACGTTTGACTGAAACTCAGGTTTCGTGTTCAACGATGATAAATTCTATCGTAAAATGATATGATTAATATGTTTGCGATAAACTGTTATATTTTATTCGCGAAAGTTACATTCACCTTCGAACTTGAAACGAAACTCTTCGATTTTACTCGTTATCGATTGTAAGAGATAAAATTTCCTCTTTTCAGTAGGATTAGTCGATTTTCGAAATAGTAAATTTCATTGCTAGTGTAAAATATACCGTATAAATACATAGTGAAATATTTGTAATATTATTATTTCGATTCTTAATATCAGAAGCGATAGCAGTATTCGCGTTACACCGTCTTACAAGTTCATTTTAGCGTTCGTATTTGCGTTTGTCTTGTGACAAATTCGCGAATCATCTTATTTCACATATTCGCATTACATAATTGCTGCTAATGAAACTGTGACGATGCGGATCTGAGAATAGCGGCAGGTCAGTTCTCGCTGCACAAGCACACAATAAGGGTTTATTAAGCATACTAATATACCATATGCTTTCTCTGTTAATAGTTATGTCGTCATATGGACGACGAGTACATAGACATCGGTAGTATTAATTTAAAGCGCGAGCTAAAACGTTACGTCCTGTTTCTTCGCTGATCGTGTTAAACTATTTTAAGAAGTCGTATCACCGCAGTTCTTACCTTTTTTTTTTTTTTTAATGAACGATAAAGATTGCATAATATACGTTGATATTTAATAAGAAATTGCAGGTTGAAAGCGACTGATATTCGTTTTGATATCTGTTTGAACGTTACGTTTAATGTTAGTAATCGTCGGTTGTGCAATCAGTCTGATAATGAATATTTATCGAATTTGTCAAAAGTATAAATAAGAATTTATGTATATCAAAGTTTTAGTATTTTGATATAATGGACTAACTGGCTAACGATTCTAACGTCTAAAAATTTCGTTTTACTGCTATGAGACGTGGCTGATGGTCTTTGAGATTGATCTTTCGAACTATCGAGTACCGATACACTTACTATCAAAGTAAGATTTCACAAAAGGCAGCATATTACACAAATAATTTTCTTATAACATATAAATTTTCAAGCCAAAATATTTACTTCAGATCGTCAACAAACTAGTTATAATTTAAAAAAAAATATATAGACACAACTCGTCACCTAGTTTATTAGCCGAAGATACGTGAAATGCGGTCATAGGATGTGCAGTATTTGTATTTAATTTTCTTATTCTGTCATGATTAATCTACACCACGTAGACAAAATATGTATCGAGCACATATCTTTCGATAATTCGTAAAAAAATGCAGCTATATTTATCGCTTATTTTACGACACTTATTCCCTTTTATTTCTTTGAATGATTTTGATTTAATATATCGCAAATAATGTCACGATAAGTTTATCGATATAATCGTGCAAATGTCTCATATAAGTGCAGAAAAAGTAAACTCTTTGTTGCAATACCTGGTGCGTGAAACGATCTTTACCAAAATTAACGACGAATCTTTAATTTCTCGGGTTATATAAAAATACGAATTTGCATAAAAATCCGCAACCCAATTAGAAATTTTGCTCATTTTTCATTCACTCCTTGATATCTATTTCTAACGAAAATTATTATCAAATTAAATAATCATTAAACTATCATAACGTTCAATGATTTGATATCGTTCTCAATAAACAGTCGCTAGTATTTAGCTTTAATTAAACGAGTATATTCAAACGAAGTGAATCACGGAAGCGTACTACTTTTGCTAGCGTTCTCGCTAGTTAGTAGATTACAGTTTATCAGATTGCATTATCGTTACGTCTGTATCTTACCTATCTTCATCCGGCGTTCCTGATTTCACCGGCATAGAAATAGACGTAAAAATTGCTACTCTGTAAATTGTGCACGTTGTTACGATTCGTATTGAATTTCAAAGAAGAACGATATCCATATGTAAGTCCTTGTACGAATCACGAGATAAAGTGTTTCGGTTACCTTCGAGTGTAAATTAGAGAGTCTTAATTATGCTTCGACTTGTGTTCATCGATAAAACCATGAAAAAACTTTATGGACGTTAGTATCGATAAAGTTCGTTAGGTTATCGTTACTCACTTTCCGATTTTATCGGTCGTTCAATTAGTCTTTCGTTTAAGATCGATTACAACTTAAACGATTCGTAAAATTTATCGATCAATTAAATCGTCTATAACAATCAAAGTATATAGATATTGTAATATTATACATTGTATTTATAAAAAATGTAACGAGTTGATTTCAATCAAATGAAACGTAGAGGCAACGTAACAATTATCGACACCGTTTACAGAAGAATAAGTTCAACGCTAATAGGGTCAATTTTAACCACTCGATGTAACCATTACGCAGAGTTTAATTAATTGTTCCAGCAATTGGTTGCAGGGATTTCTTAACGAAATCCTGTTTAATGCTTAAATTCAATTGAAGAAATTACCGTTTACGCTTGATCTCGTCAATTGCGAGTACGTCTACTTTCCTAGCTACGCAATCTTATAACTGGATAATTTTAAATAATAATAATTTTAAATAATAACTATTGAGTCGTCTTCAACGTTTCTGTGGTATTTGTTATATCTGGATTTAACGTCACAAGTACAATGGCTCGTAAGAACATTTGATTAGTTAACAGAGAAAATTTGTATGAATGAAACTTTTTTCATTGACACACGGCTATCGTGGTTGTATCGATAAAATTTGAAACCAAGCCAAAAATGTATATAGAGATTGCGAGATATTTAACGTAAACACACACTTAGCGTTAGTAAAAAAAATTGTCATACAACATGGGATCGTGATCCTCAGCATACATATGCCTAATTAACGCTAACGATGACTCACTATGTATGCATATATAGTGGCTTAATGCAGCGAATAGTTCAAAGCTGTGAGAATTTTCAAGACAGTCTTATCAAATTTTAATAATAAAATTTGCTAAACTTGCCCGATAAAAATTATTCTATTTAGAAGCCCAAATTCTATGTTTACTAGATCGCGAAACATTCGTTTTAAGCTGTCATTCGGTTTTTCGCTCTGTTAACGAATACATCACTAACGATATATAAACCGGAAGGAAGGAAGAAGCGCAGGAAAGAGAACAGAGTAAGAAACGAAATACATAATCGTGTCGGCAGTGTGGTTGTTCTACGATCCATGAAAAAGGAATCAGAGAAAGTACAAGTTCGTGGAGCCTGGAATTTCGCGGACAAAAAACAGATATAAACTATTTACTTTCCGTAATGCTTCGGCTTTTTGCCATTCGAGTCGTTCCACTAACCTCTCTAGCTCTTTGAATCGTAACAGAATAAAATTGACGGGTCTATTACTTACCTTCCCTCTGAGGAACGAATTTTAATTTTAATATTATTAATAATGTCTTTAAAGTGTAATTAACATCACCTATGATATTGCCAATTTAAGATCTACAATTTATTTTAATATCTCTGATTTCAAAAGTATTTAAAAATGTTACGATATTTGCTAATAATATTTCTAATTTGATATCTAAAATGTAGTTCAATTCTTACGGAAATTTTCTTATATCTAGAGATAACGATTTTCTCGTTACCGATCGATCGAACGAATTTCACGTGCTTAACTCGGTTTCTAATTCTTTTCCATTGCACGCTGCCAATTCAATGACACGAGTGTATATATTTTTTCAGAGATACCATACAAAGAGATCGAAACGACTGGAATTTAGCTCAAAAGCAGAACGGCCTCAATAAGTAAGTTTTATATCATATTTGGCTGGCTCAGAATTATAACGATGTAAGTCAAAATTTTAAGAACATTAGTTATTTTACAATCGTTAAAAGAATTGGTCGTTCAATTTGATAATTAACTAGGTTCTAATTTCATTCTGTATTGCAACGTGATTCCTTAATTTTAAAAATATATGCGTATGTATGTGTGCGTGTGTAGGGTGAGGAATTGAATGTTTTTATAATAACGAAAATAAAACAGCTCGATTAATAAACAATAGCGCTGAACTGACTTACACTACTATGATTTTCAGCCCGCCATTTGATGCCTTCCTAAACAATCTTTGCTTTTAATTTATTGAATTATTAAAAAAAAAAAATGATAGTGGACAGACATCGTATCTTTTTGGTATTGTACGTTTATTCGCAGATAATACGAACATGTGACACATGCATTACACGATCTAAGACTACAACATGTGACACTTGTAAAAGTTTCACATTCGATAGAATAGAGGTACTCACCGACATATGTTGCTGCAATGTATGGTATAATATATTCAAAGGTATACAGTATTCGTATTTTTCTTCTTAAAAGTTCAATGTTAGGTCAGGTTCCGGCTCGTTGTGATATGTTAAACCTCACTGAACACGAGAAAATAGCGATCATTATCACCACACCTACCGTGGAAAATCGTTTAGCGATTGTAGTTGTCCGACGACTACAGACCGTATTGATGCTGTTTACTGCTTAGGACTTCCAAATTTTCACCAAACCACTACTGCGTAGTTCATAATCATGTAATAATCCATTTTATTCGAATGTCATTTGATTCAAATCAATATCGTTCACTTTTTAAAAAATGCAATATAATTTTTGAAGTGTTGTACTAGCTTGCATCACGAAATAAATAGACTGCTCGAATTCAAAATTGCAACGTACCAATCACAATACGAGATATTCGGTGATGACTAATAGCGCATCTTAGAATGTTTTTATCGATATACGATCGATAATTCGATCCAGTATACACGTTAACAACACTAGTGCCACCACGAATTTAGTTTGAAGGATACATAACTATTAAATGTAAAACAGAATTTGATTACTTTGATTTACAAAATGACAGACAGAGTGAAAAGCCATCAAGGATCGAAATACAATCGCAGACAGACCGTCAGGTAAGTGCTACATTTTCCGCGCGAAAGCAATAAACGTCTTAACCTATTTCATCATGTATATCGTAAAGAGAATTCAAACTGACAGCATCCACCGTGGTTCTTCTAATCGACATCGTGCCATATTTAATTTCTTGGAAGGTTGTAGTATTTTCTAGTTTCTAAGCATTATCATTATCACTCAAACTTATTTTGTATATTTAAGTAGTATATCGATTACACTTTGGTGTCACATGATGTTATTGTTACTATCCTTTAGAAACATTGTCTGTCTTTTATTTTATGATTATCGTTTGTTATGTGTGAATTTTTCGTGTTGTCTCAAAACAGTTACATTTGTGAAAGGGTTCTCAACTTGGCTAATATAAGTAAGGTGTTGATACTATTGTAATATTTGTTACAATATCAATTAATCGATTAAAATTAAAATATAATATTATACGGTATGCTATGTGATGTGATGTAACGTAGGTTAAAAATGTCAATAAATGTATATGAAATTTTAAAATTGTAGAGAAAGTCAAGTAACTTGATTTTATTAATTAAAAAGCAGTGTCTCTTAAAGTGTCCGTAGATATTCAATATTTTGTTAGACAATATTTCAGTTACATAATTGTCTTTTTGTCTAATATTATAGTAATAATTTCGTAGTATTAATTTGTGACTTGAATTAAAAGAATTAAATTTTCGGAATAGTAGAATATTTTAATGTAGTAAAGCGTTATTGTACTCATTTTTATTGAAATACGTAGATATATTTTAACGTGTTTATAATTGATAGATTATTAATAAATACAATTATGGAATACAACATTTCTTTTTCGTTACTTATAATATTTTTACTTCTGTTTTTAGCGAATCTTATCGTAATGCTCTTCAAGCTTTCATAGATCGAAGACGAATCTCCGACGACGTGGACATCGAAGCACCTTGTAGTCCCGATAAGAAAAGGGCAGACTTTTTGTCAAAAAATAATAACAATAAATCCGACAACGAACGAAACTTACGAGAATCGAAATCGATCGTACCAGGTGTACCGCATGTATTAGCTCCTGAGATTTTTGAAATTGGATGGGTAGCGGGCACGGAAGATCGATATCTGGAATTGATTTTTGCAGAATGGCAAAATACACGAGTTTCACTGAAGAGGCATTCGCATCCGGAATGCAAAGATGCTGTGAAAGCGGATTTAGATGTGCTTTCGTACGTACCGATCGATACTCTATAAAACGATTGACTTTTATCGATACGTTTCTATCATTTTATTCTCAAAAATATGAATTTACGTAAAGCAGTTTATACATGTTGTACGTTTTACGATCTTCACAACTGACAGTTTAAAAAAGAAAAATAATGAATAGAGTAATTTTCGTGAATAATATCAAACGAGACAAATGGAAACGATACATAAGCATTATCTTCTCACTTTCACTTTTGTAATATTTATGTTTCTGTTTAGGGAGATTCGACACCCTAACGTGCTATTGTTAATGGCCAGTACCTTCACAGACGATCATGGCTTGGTCTCTATTTTCGAATCCATCGATTGTACCCTTTATCATTACATGCACGATCAGGGTGAACGAATATCCATACAAGGCATTGCGAAATGCGGAGGAAGACTGTCCGATGCTTTAAGACATTCTCACATGCGCGGATACGTGCACAGTGCCATCAACTCGCATTGCGTCTATTTGGCTTCTAATGGTGTCGTGAAACTAGGTGGATGGGAACTGGCCATGCATATCAACAGTGTAAGTGAACATATTCATCTTTTTATGGTGGTGTATGACATACGTTGATTAATTACTTTGATATTAATTACTTAGTCAATATTTTTATAACATGGCTCATTCGTTCCGTGTTATATCGGAACCGTACTTTCAGAATACCGTGTTGTAAGAGGATTGGGTGTACTAATAAATATCTCATCAATGACGTTTAACGATATCAATATAACTTATGTTTCTAACATTTCTGTAATGTGAGTTAAAAGTGTTAGTGGCTGACTTGCGCGTAAATAATCCTCCAGAAAATGTCTCCTTAATATTACTAGTGCGTAACATCTCAAATAGAATTGTAAAACTTAGGATCTATATTTATTTTCTACTACATTATTTCGACGGATATTATTTGCCATTCTTTGACGATCTTTTCTCATGAACTAAAATCTAAGAATAGAACAATGTAAAATCAGAAATCAAGCATTGTTTCAAAATTACATTTACTTTATTGTAAAACGTAAAGTCTCTAGCCGCTTAAAATGCTCGTTGATGTAGTCGCAGTCAAAAAAAATCTTAGTCGATCAATTTTTCTTTCCAATCACTTGGCTCTTTCTCAATTGGTATTCAAGTAACTATTTCATATTTATTGTCAAAGGATAATAATTTACCTATCAGCGAAACCTGCATCTCATAAGTGAGCTTTTAATAAATTGTTAAACCAGGTTGCATTAAAGCATTTCGATAAATCTTTGCGCTGCACATTCTTTCGCGGACAATGAAGAAATTGATCGTCATGGAAAAATAATGATATGGCGAATTACTCGTTCGTCATCGGACGAAATTAATTGAAAATAATCCATACGTGTCGAACTGTTGTGCAGACTGTATTTTGCAAGGTGTGACTACTTGACAGTTCTTTTTTTTTTTTTTTTTTTTTTATAAATCCTCGGGAATTAATTCATGCAAACTATTTGTGAACAAATATCAGCGTGTTACCTCTTCGCACAATGTGAATTGACTTTCACAGAGCCAGCAGCAATTATTCTTTTCTGCGTGAATTCTTTTCTGCAGGTTATTAACGAAAGAAAGAACCTGGTCGCAAAGAACAATAAAGGTAAAAAGTCGTGTGTTGAAAGTTGGTTTCACTATTGCGAGTTAACGAACTGATTATGATGCGGTAGATCGAGGATCGATGAAAAATATAATAATTCACACGTTGCATAAGTATACTAACGAGAATTCGGCTATTTCAGTGAAAGGATTAAACGCTGATCAGATTTCATATCCATTAAATTACAATATACGTGATTTATTTTATAACGCGACACGTGTGTCGTATAGTGATATTTAATATCTTTTAACTAATATTATATGCTCTTTCGTATCCGATTTTTACTTTATACTTACAAAATCTTGATCAATTCGAAACGTGAAAAAAAAGGTTCTTCCGACATACGCGAAATCCCCTAATTATCATTTCGTGAACTACACACAGCTGACATTAAGTATAACGTCATATCCGTTTTTTCATTGACGCACCCAACAGTATTTCGTAGCAGGAAATTGTCGGCATCGCTTCTCACCAAATGTTCAATTTTGAATAAAGTCACTGTACCGTAACACTGTTAATTACGTTCAGCGGATGAAACATGGAAATTCACGATAATCATAGGTAGCGGATAGCTGAACCTGTCGTGTACATTATTTTTGAACACATGACTCAATCCAAATTCGTACACTGTTTTTCTCATCCGTGTTTGTGTTTCACCATAAACGGAACACTTAATATATCTTTTAATTTTTCAACTAAGAGCATGTCGATATTTCCAAAATATTTTATCGTTGAATTCCCGGATATCTAAAAAACTCCACTTAATTAGCAACTTACGTTTATATGGATACTTCTTTGTAGTAAAGTGCTAGAAAACGTGATTTATAAAAACCATTTATGTACTATGTACTTTAGGTATTATGCCTAAAATCAGTGTTGCAGATATTTTTACGAAGAGAATTATACTAGAACGTGCGTGTGCTTATGTGTGAATCAAGTAGCTCTAACATACACGCGAACGTTTCAATAGATTCTGTGAATTTTGCACAATCTTCCGTCTCGATTCGCGCTCAGTTCCCACGAATATTTTTTACAGCAACGCCTAATGTTGCAATGTACGCGCATATTATAATGTAAAGATACTTTACGAAACGAAGAACATCTTAATATAACTTTAAACATACGTACAGATATATAATAATAATACAGATATATAAAGTGATATATATACAGTAAGATATATACAGTAATACAGATATATAAAAGTTTTAGTTAGTAATACAAAATAAAGAACAGCCGATAGACTTTAAAGAGTCACGAAATATTTTGTAACCGTATAAAGATATCTTATATAATATACGCCAGTGTTTTTTTTTTTTTTTACGAATATAACATCTACTTTCTCGAATACGCAATTTATGTATATACAAGTGCCATTGAGAAGCATTTTTATCAACTTTCTTTTGACAAGATTGTATTTTTTAATTTTACTATAGCCAAAACCAGAGAGAGAATACGAGGAACGTTTAAGAAACGAGATTTTTCGCTGGCAAGCGCCAGAACTTTTTCACAGTTACGAACCATATAAACAGAGCGATGTATACGGACTGGCTTTATTGATTTGGGAAATGTGTACAAGTAAGTGTCGAATCAAATCAGATGGATCGAATCGTCGATCCTTCTTCCACTATTATTTTTTTCTTTTTTTTTTACAATGCGTTCAATTCGTACAACGATCCGAAACGAGTTTTGTGTATTCGAAGAATTTCATACGCATCATACGATTTCTTCGCCTGAATCTGAACGATTAGGAGATTAACTTTTCAATCAGAAACGCCACCAACGACTCAATATAAAAATGAAACAGGTTTAGAACGAATAAGGAAACGAAATCACGTTCACTGAGATTTCAATAGTTTTAAACGAACGGCGTGATTTTCGCGGCACTGCGTTTATTAGACGCGATAAACGAAGTTTCGCAACTATTTCAAAATATTTATTTGTAATAAGCAGGATAACATATGCGCGTATGATGCACGTTTGCTTTTTAATTATAAGTGAAATAGCAGCAACCATATCTGCGTCTCTTATATTTATAATTAATATGTATATCATAATTTTATATTAGATCGGATTAATTAAGATCTACTGGTGCAGTGTGTAGTGCAATCGATTACGTTAAGAGCGTGGCAAATGGCCGCGTACGTGAAGAATGTTTAAACTTAATTTTCTCAAGAACGAAGCTGCGAGTGTATATTTTCGTTTTATTTTTTCATAAGGAATCCATCTATGTAAATCCGATTGTACTACCTGTACAGAAACACCCTGCAGTTTAATGCTTTCTATGTCGTTATTTTTTCTTCACATTCTAAAAATTAAAATTCGATTTTCTTAGATATATATCGTCTGAAATTTGTACATCCTTCGTTTTTTGTATAAAAGCAAAAAAAAAAAGAAAAATAATCCTCCGAAAGCTTTTCTTTGCAACGACTAATTTTAGTCCTCGTATCGTACATTAATAAATATCCGTATGCGTAAAATTATGAATTGGTTGATAAGAAAATATTGATTTTCGATTAATAAATAGTGCATGTACCATGGAGTGGACATAGTAAAGCAGACGTGGAGAGACAGTACGTGCATTGGAAACGTGGTGTTATTATGGATTTATATGATTTTCCACCATTGTTGAATAATTTACTAGACGCTGGACTACAATTAGATATTAATAAAAGGACATTGGATATGGATAGAATGCGTAGATTTCTGCAGAGATTGGAGGTACGTTTCTGTAGAAAAAGAAATTTAGATTTAAACTTCATTAAAATATTAAATCTCGTGACATCTTATTTAATTCAGAAATATAGTATCAATGAAATTTGTTATTAGGTAATTTGAAAAATTATATAATATCGATCTAATTTGGTACATTTTTACATGTCCATTAAATTCCAATAGATACGATAGAGGAATTTTATTTCTGTGCAGTTTTCACTTTTAAAAACTCTAAGATCTTTGTAGACGCCACGAATTTCTATCGAACATGTATCATCAATTTTAGACGCAATACGAACACGAAGAACCAATTTATGTCGACCAATACGCGAACAATAATAACGAAGCTGAAAATATTTATATCTTGCCAATAAAAAAATCTCCCATGAAAAATAAGGGTCCGAAACTGACGAAAAGCGTTTCAACCAAACAGTTATCTCGTTCCGTGATAAGTCCAGATCCTTCATTGAGGCAACATTCGTATTCGAGAAAGTCAATATCCAAGCAAAATGCAAATCAAAAAGTAACACCTGATATCGAAGAAATAAATTTCTCTGCTGACGATGTTAAAGGCAATACTAGAAACGATATAGAGAAAAACACGAACGCTTTTAGCAATTTACAAAATAATTATAAGAAGATTAACTATCCGACTACTAACGAAGAAGTGTCAAATATTCGAAATGAAGAATTCAATGTACAAGAAATTTCGCAACCGTGGAACAATATTTATAGAAAAGTCAAAGCACCGCAGGAAGCAACGGAGTCTAGAACAACATCGGTTTATTCCTCGCCATTGTTACAATCTTCAGACGATGAATCCTACAAAGACGCAAGAACTAACTTAAAACAATTGAAAGAAATATTGGCAAATAAAAGGCAACGTTTCTTCTACGGCAGCCAGTCGTCACATACATCTCCAAATATAAGTACGTATACATTTTTTATTTGTATTATTTGAAAAATGTTTCGAGATCATTTGGAGTCTGATAAATGCAATGGTAAAAGAGCTATAATTCCTTTCTGCAACTAGGAAAATTAAAAAGACGAATCAAAAAAATTGGGAGTATTTTTATTAAATTAAGAAAGTGAATTAAAATTCTAACAAAAGTTTAATAATTCTTCCGAATGTATGTTCCCATTGTTATTTATTAATTTTTAAAAGACGTAAAGTTACAAATACAATGCTAATAAGATATTTAAATAAATAATATATTTTACTTATTACAACACTACTTTATGTAGTTTTTTAATCATTTTAAATCAGGTCCGACCAGTAAAATGCTCATTAAAGTAAAAAGCAAGGATTACGAACCACATAAGCCAGCTAGCCACAAAACTAGCTTAGAACCAAAATACAGTAAATCTCCTAATCAGTATAATCCGACTTACATGAAGTCAACGTTTCAACAATATCGTAAGGTACAATTTTCTTTAAAATTAGTTTAACATACTCTGGGCTCTATTAGATCGTTCTTCGACAAGTAACATTGAATCTCATTATATTCTAATATATGCTACAGATTCCCTATTTACATACTCCTGAGGGCATTAAGGATGCAATAATACAACCACAAATATTGAATTCCAACCCACAAACCTTCTTCGAAACATCTTTATGGAGAAAGGAGAAGTTAATTTGCTTATCTAAAATGAGAAAAATACATACCGATGAATCTGTAAGAATTTATATTATTTTGTTTTTGAAAATCCTAGAAATCTTTACGATTGTATACTTTATAATTACAGCCACGCTACCTTGCAGAACAGATAGACGATAGCGATACTATTTCCACTGAAGCTACGACTAAAACTCAAACAGAAAAATCAACAGAATCGGTTTCTATCAACAACAATGTTACTTACGTCATAAAGAAAAGCTCGGAAGGTAATAAATTAATCTAGTAAAAATAAAATATTTTTCTAATCTTCTTGTCTCAGGCTGAAATAATACTATTCCTGTTTAAGTAGTTTTGAAAAGTTATTATTACATTATAATGTTCTAAAATTTATAACATTTTCTTATCTTTAGTGTAACAATTAATCTTTATGATAAAACGATTAGTCACTAAAACAGAAACCAGCCTGGGAGGATCTGACCAAGTATGCGAAAATATAAACAATTCAACGTCGGTCACTAGTCTTCAGAGCGAACCCTTGCGAGTCTTAAAAGATGCTTTGGACCGAGCTACAAAAATTGTGCGCTCCGTTACTCCAAATAGTAACGATTCGTGTCCGTCTCCTACATTTAAATACTCTTGTGGGGACTTTGAAGTAACTTTGGGTGATAATCAAGCCAAGAAGGATATTTTCGAAAATCTGTACGATTTACAAAATAACAGCGACGACGAGGAAATTAGCGATATTGAATGGTCAACGACAAAAGACAAATTATTTTTGTTCGATAAGTCTAATGTAGATAACCCGATGATTAGCAATGAAACACAAAGCGAGTCTAGTAATAATAATGGCGTTAGCCTTACCAATATTGAAAACTACAGCCATTTATACGACACAACGATTAACAGAAATTTTGCTTGCGAATCAATTGCTGAAGTGTCAAATGAATTCAACGCTTCGTACATTGATACAATATCAGAAGAAAAGGCTGAATCTTTAGACAATAAAGTAACTAGTATTAAAGAAAACGCCAAAGCCTCCGAAACTGCACAAAAGTCTGAAATACCCGTTCAGGAAAGCGATGTCGAAACTAAGATAGAAATTAAGGAAAATGAACAAAAGTCTGCTATGAAAAATCTTGATTTTATGAACGATACTACGAAATACAGAAACTGCAAAACGTGTCATCACAGTAATTTACCAAGGCGGCGTTCTTTACCAGCAACATTGAATCAATTGAGAATAGTTAACAACTCGGCCTTAGGGAAATTACCTATACGCAGAGGGGTAAGCTATTTATTCGACAAAAGCTGTAGTACGCTATATATGTACTGCGTATGCTTTAAGCATTTATGCAATTAATTATTTTGTTTATTATTAATTAATAATATAAATAAAAAGAAACATTCATATAAAAATGCGATAAAGCAGATATTAAAAGCTATTATGTTTTCAACAATAATTAATAGAAATGCATTAAATGACAAATATTTACCTTACTTATATTGTTACAGGATATTGACAATATCGTCATAGCAGACAATACCACCGAAGATTTATACATAGACGACGAATTTGGTGATGAATTAAACATAAATATGGTTTTGTTAGATGATAGTTTATTACTTAACGAGGATTTCTTATCCGAAATATCGGAGCTATAGAATACTATAAAATAATAATTATCAGTTACGTTATTCTAATACTGCTAATAATTTATTATACTTTACTTTTAAAAAATATAACTAATATTACATAGTTATGAAGTTCCAATTCAGTTGGAATACGCGGTATCGACAAATAAACACTTACTTTATATTCGTTTTCAAAAAATATTCGTATATTTTGCATTTTGACATGTGTACGACAGTTAAAACATAACTATGTATTTCTTCTTCGTGTAAAATATATCATTAAGTACTGTAAAGTACGAATACACACACAGTAATATTTTTCATATATAACATAAATGTAAATAATAAATACCATTTATATAAAAATTGCAAAATATTAAAACAGATGCTTTTAATATTACTTCCTAATTATAATAAATACATATATATACATACAAAAACAACAAAATATTTTAGTTAATAAATACAATAATTAGTGTCTTAAATGCAATGTATTTGCAATATAAAAAATACATAATATATCGTGAAAAGGAAGATGCTATTGTGTAAAATAGATTTTATATTTCCTACACCATACTTGTAATTTTTGCAACTTAGTAAACGAAATTTTATTCTTTGTTGAGATTTTAGTTTATCAGAAAAGCGTTTAAAATACTAGAGTCAGTTAAATTGCTAGGCCAAATACAGAAACGATACAATACATTGTCTTGTTTTCCCAACGCACTGTACAACTACCATCAGTAGCATTATCCCAATAGCAAGAACTCGCAGTATGCAGTCCTGCTCCATTTTTTTGCATTATAGTACAAGTCACTAAAACAATTTTTTTAGTTCAACAAAAGATGAATTATTTAACTGCAATTACTAAATTGGTTCTTGTGAATTACAAAAATACATACCTATATATTTATATGGCTTTTGAAGTTTTGTAAGATTCCCCAAACATCCTTCGACAACATTCGAGGTCCACTGATTTACTTTGTTATGTTGATAAGCATTTCCCCCGATAGATACTTCAATCGCTTCCTTAATAATTTTGCTTACATCATCGACCACAAATTGGGTCTAAAACATTAAAGTACTCACTAAACTACTATATAAAGATATTAGTCATTTAAATCAAATGTGAATGTACATGTAAAATAAGCTATCATTATCAAGGTAACAGTCATTTTTGTCATTAAAATAAACATCGTTTATAATAAATAAATATATAAAAAAGCATTAAAATATGAATCTATACTGTATGTTCACATATTCTGACAATTCAGAAATAGACACATATTTTATTTGAAAAAGAGAAAAATACTAACCTCTTCTTGCATATCTTCCATCATCTTGTCAAACTTTTAATAAATTGCACACCAATGACTTTTATATTAATCCAAAAATAATTACCCCTTTAATCAAAATACGATTAATAGATTGACATCGCCAATACTGTTAGAATATTAGATCATTTTTAATAATAATACACATTATTACAAATAAAAAATTACATGCTTCATAAATTATATTGGATTAATTATATTTTTTCTCACCTTATATATTTTGCACACAAAAATACCGGCACAAGTATATTATAAGACGTATTGCAGTTTCATCAGCAACACCAAAGAAATATCTAGCGACAACTACCGCAGAATGTAAATTGATTACTGACGACGGTTGAACATTGCATATTCGTTCAGATGTTTGACATGTCAATTTCAAATAGTTTTAAATTTGAGCAAATAATTCAATATAAAATATAAAAGGTATCTTATCAAACTTAATATTTTATATTCTTTTGTTAATTTAAGTACACCTTCCTTAAAATATTAACTCACGTTTTTATAAATTGTACGGTACACAAAAGAAATTGTATAGGTTAAAATAATTACACGTTACAAACTACTGATTCATTTAAAATATCTTACTTTTATTAAAATATTTATTAGCATTAGTAGTGTTACTAGTATTAATATTAGCCTTAGTAGCAAACAATACAACGTGTTAGTACGTAATATTATTTTGGTATTCAATTAATTAATAACTTTAATAATTCCTTAATTGAGTATCAAATTTATTGCATTAATAATTAGATAATATACAATAATAATAACAAAACTACAGATACCCATACAAATTTTCAATACCATTCAATTAGTATTACTATAATGCTATAATTGCTATTGAAGTAATTTTCAATTTAATGTATATACATACTGATCATCCATGATAGTATTTCTTGTTCTATTACGACACGTATGTATAACTATGCCAAGTAATGTATGTAAAAGAAATTATTGGTTCGAGGATTTTTTATGATTCGTGAAATTTTTATAATTTAAATTACGGCGGTAAATCGATATATTATGTTGACTATCGACAGCACGGTATCAATATAGTGAACATTCCCAGTGTATATTATTAGACATATATACCCGTTGATGTTCAATAGCTTTAGTGAACAACTGTTTATTTTTGCAGAAGTATTGTTATTAAATGAATATTATAAAATTATACATATTTTGAAACAAGTTATGAGACAAAACAAATTTGTGAGACAAGAGATATCATTCATACACGAAACTACATAATAAAAATGTTACGTCAACGTTATACCCGCATGATATTCAAACAAATTTTTGAACATAAAAGTGTTTATAGACAGGTACAGGTTAACGTGACACGTTCGTTTTATGATAACCATGAAGCTATCAATCACTTTATAAAGTATTTACGTAAACGACAAGTTACTGTTGGAACAAAAGCAGAAGCTTATGGCAAACACGTTTACGGTCCACCACTAGGAATGCTTGTAAAGGTAGAAGCACCTAATTTGCATGATTTTCTTGTATTACGTCTACAACATTGGTGGAAACGTCAAAAAGATAATTATAAGGAATATGTCGAAAAAGAACAATATAAAAAATATATCTTAGCAGGACCAGATTTGGCAGCAGCTAAGTATGTTATAGAGTGTAGTGGTAAAATAAGGTTCAAAAATCACAATGAATGGATAGATAAAACTAAGAAGAATGAACTTTCAAAATTGCCAGAAGAATATGATGAAAACTTTATTTTAGAGGAAATAGATTTCAATGGATATCCTATAAAATTTGAACATCTTGATTTTATTTTTAATCTCTATAATTTAAGAACACTAAGCTTCAGAGGTTGTAAAACAATTGATGATTGGTCATTGGATAAATTGTCTGCAGAATTTCCAATGTTAGAGCATCTTGACGTATCAGAATGTGAAAATGTAACAGAAAGGGGACTAGAAGCACTATATAGAATGCCTAACTTGAAGAAATTAACTGTGACTAATTTTCGTGGATCTGCAGCATTCGAATTAACTTGTTTCTTATTAGAAGATGTCAATCCATATCTAAAATGTGAAATTCAACAACCACAATACAAATGTTTACCTGAAAAATAATATATATAAGAAATCTAATTAATAATAATAGTATAATGTACTTTTTAAAGTATAAATTGCTATGTAATGTAAAATTGCAGTATTTACATATTACACGTTTTACGCAAAAACTAAGAGTGTTTTATCAATTTGTTTTTTTCTCTACGTCTTTTTACATAATGTAATTCTACTTTGTTTGTGATTCCATAAGCTTTTATATTTTCATTGTCATCTATTAATCTAACATTCTCAAAACATAGATGATACTTTTTCCAAATATGTTTCCAACTTATCTTCTTTTTGACTTTCTCTCTCTTCAGAGATAAATTTGTATGTCGTTTTATAGCTTTCTTGAGATCTAGGACTGTAGTGTGGTGAGGGGGTACCTAAAATCATAAAGAATCAATTTAATATAATCCAAAAATCGTTATATAGATTGTTATCCTAATTTTTCTTTATTTTAATTATCAAACGTAGTAAATATTATATACAAACAATATCAAATGTATAACAACGTAATACAAAATATAAAAAATATATAAAAAGTTATTTGAAAAATGTCTCACCACAATTCCAAGTTTTGGCAATTCTCCACGATTCAAATACAAAGTTATCGCTTGTCCTTGTGCAACTGCAATTTGAGCTTTGAGTTCCTCGATAGTAACATCCGCCGGTAGACCAGAAAGTAACGGATCACTTTCAATTATATTACGAATTGCTCCTTTTGTTAGCTTGACTAATTCATCATGATCAAGTTCTGCGCATTTATCAATTATTTCTTCTTTTTTAATCAAATTATTTCCCTGCTCTTCTTTTGATTTAGCATTTTGAAATGTACACTGAATTTTATCCATAATTTCTATATATCATAATTGAAAATACTGTAAACATTGAATGCATAAAAAAGATATTAAATAATAATAATATTAAGACTTCCTGCTTTGTGTAAATCATGTAATATTCTTAGTTATATCGTTGTGTGTGTGTGTGTGTGTGTGCGCGCGCGCGCGTGCGCATGTGTGTGCAATCAAAATGTGCACATATAAATACATAAAATACCTGTTATACGTAGAAAACATTGAGAAGCGGTCGACTTCCTTTCACACGGAGTTGACGCATGCGCAAATAGTATTTATTAGTGCATTGAGGGCGCGGTTGTCACCGATCAATCTCGGTTGCATTTATATGTGTGTGTAGTTATGTGTATGTATGTATGTATGTAGTTCATCCTGAAATTTTGTGGATATAGCGCGCGATACTTAGCTACGTTGTGTAAGTTGTGTTACATTTCGATATTTGCCAAAGTGTGGTGATTATTCGTTATAATTGTACGATCGAACGCACGGAAAAAATTTCCGTGCTAGAAGTCTATTGATATTTAAAAGAATACTGAAATCAAAACATTTATCAAGATGACGATCATCACAAAGGCCATTACTGAGAAGAAGGAACAACCGTTGTTTATTGCGGAGAATTCAGCGGTTAGCACTATTTTGATATTTATCAAAATCTAGTATTAGTGTTATTTTAATATTGTTAACGATGAAACATTAATAGAAATAATCGCAGAAATTTTAAATCTAGTTTGCTCTTCATAAATAAATATTCATCATGTCATCGAATTTATCGTTCTCCATGAATTTTATTCATTTTTAATAAATTTATTTGTGTGTAAATGTAATTTTATCTTTGCCTCTTGCATAGTGCTGCGTATTTGATACATTTTATGACGTCGTTTAATAGTTCGTTACACGTATTCACCATTATCGCAGACCAGCGACGATATAATGGTGGTGGGATTGCAAAATTGATATAGATAGATGAGAGTTCATCTCTAGAAAATTACTGTTCCCATTTAGTTAATCGTTGTGAATATTAAAATGATATTTTTTTCTTCATCAAAAATTGTTTTCATCAAAACTCACGAAGTAGGGTTCAGTATAAATAAATATCATTATGTAAACAGGAAAATGGTAAACGGGATGCGGAGGCACAATGCTTGAAGTCCGATGTGGGAGGTCATTATTTTGTTTCTCGGAGAAGCATTTATCGCATTCATGTGACCGCAACATTTTTACTGTTTATCGTTGCATTTATGATTCTGCTAATTGGAGTCATGGGTGGATTATACATATACAGACAATATGCTAGAACACAAATGCACAGATTTAAAACTGGATGGTACAGCATTCCTTATGACAAATCAAGCAAAACACCTTATACCAAAGATGCAGTACACGAAGGCTTGGTAGCAGATTCTAATTTAATTATACAAGGTTTGAGAAGAGCTACAGAACAAGAAGCTATGGATATTATGAAAAATATTGACTCTGGTTTGATTATAAAAGGTTTGAGGAGAACTACAGATCAGGAAGCTGCGGATATTGCGAAAAATGTAGATAACATCAGAAGCTTCTTCAAGGAACGATTTGAGATCGATTTGGAAAATGAGCACTATGAGAAAATTGATGTACCAGATTTCCGTGGCGGGCGTCAAGGTCGATTTGTACATGATTTTAACATTGTAAGCATGTTGAAATATGTATTATATAAGGTATCTGACAGAAAGAATATATTACTTTGTATAATTTATTTCTTTATAGAATAAAACTGGCATAATTGATATTGATGGGCAATGTTGCTTTGTGATGCCACTTGATCGTCAAGCAGTTTTACCACCGCGCAATATGTATGATCTTCTCAGAAAAATGTATAATGGTAATTTTCGTATATTTTGTAAAACAAATGAATTCGAATTTGGAAATAAGTAATATAATAATATATTTTTTATTTGTATAATGGTTGCAGGTTATTACGAAGTAGACACAGAAATTGTGCGTAAAACAATGAAAGTGGTCACTCCACCAATCTCTGATTTATCAGTTGTTGGGACATATATAGCTCGTGAGTGTCAGGATTTACCAACATATATGTTGACAAAAGTAAATTCAAATGGTCGGTATATTCAATACTATCTAATGATCGTTTAATATTATCGATTGGATTAATGTATATATCTTTATTTTGCAGTCGTTAAACGTAGTATATCAAACGGAGTATTTGGACAATTTGCAGGAAAAAATATCATAGAATTTGACATTTTGAACTTAGAAGATATAAATGCATATAACAAGAAAAGTCCACAAAATTGAACAGAAGGAATTTATAATTATTTTAGAATATTTACCGTTGTAGATCAATGTAAAAATTATATCCAATCCAGCAAACTTAGGTAATTTCTTTGTAAATTGCTACAAATCATATTGCCATCAACTTTATTTTTTTTAAATTCACGAAGAACTACTTATTTTTAAATATACATTCACTTTCAGGACGTTCATTAAGTCTTCCCATCATTTCCTATCTTAGCTCCAAATCAGTAATGCTATAATAAAAATAAGATATGTTAGTTATTGTACATCTGTTTAACATTTTACGAGAGTTTAATTCAGTAGCATGCTGATTATAAATGGCTGATGCGGTTGCAGAACTATTGCATTTTTACATAAACGTGTGTCAAGTACATATCCAACTTAAGTAACAGTGAAATGTCAGTGGTGCTTATTTATAAGGTAGAACTACATTTATTTACTTTTTATGCTTAAATTCTTTGTCGAACGGTTCTAGTAAAATGATAGAGATAATTCATATTAAAATTGTTGTACACCTAATACATAGTCATACAATCGAATGACTAATAATTGTACAAACTAGCACGTTATTTTATAAATCGTATACTAATTCTATAAATCACGGATTTAAATGTTTTTATGAAAAATAATTTACACTTTCACCCGTTTATGAACAGTTGTAGTTTAAGAACTAATTAAAATACGTTTAAACGATATTTGTTCTTTCGTTAGATAATAGTAAATGTGTTGCAGAAACACGTGTTCTATAACACGTATTCTGAAAGAAATTTAGTAGTAAAATATGTATTGAAAATGATAAAACATGAATAATAAAGTTACTGTGACCAGGTCAATAGTATGAAGATTACGAATTAAAGCATGTGATCGAATAGTTCTACATCAAACTTTCTTTCTGTCATATAACATTCCTGCTATGAATTTTGATTTTATCGATTTACGCTCAATATAAAAGACTTATATAAATTACAAAGAGAGTTAATACATGTGTATTATTTTATCAAACTTGATTGCATATATCTTTTTGTAACATGCGATTGCATGATTATTTAATTTTACAATAAAATGAATAACGATCGTATTTTATTTGCATTTTTAATAGATTTTTAAGCTTTACTGTTTACGAGCAAACCAGCCTCAAGTACGTCTGTCTTTTTTAATTTATCAAATCTTCATATCAATTTTAATAAATTTAAAATAATACTTTAAATTTAATAGGTTTTGTTCCAACGTGATTATAAAATTATAGATATAATCAAAATTTTGGTAATTTCAATTGAATTTCTCTTCCTGGTAATCAGTTTTATTTAAACCATTTGGAGATAATATGAAATTTGTTTTGAAAATCAAAATGATGCGCTATTGTATTACCTATTTGTATTTTATATATATCGCAATCTTTAATATTATTTAAGTTTATTTTTCATATATTACAAATCATATATTTTCGATTAAAATATACTATGCTATATGAATACTGATTATTCATTGTTCTTTAACATATAGATGGTGCTGCAATCTAATTATACGCAGATCATTAAAAATTATAATTCTTTCATTGACAATATGAATTTTTATTTTAAAATATATGTGAATGTAAAATATATGTGATCGAATTTTTCTAGAGCATTATTGTATTTATAATTAATAAATATGTAAAAGTAAATAGTAATGATTGCAGAAGTTTTCATGTTGAAAACTAACAAAGTATCGTACATAACAACGTATTATATTAGTTACCAGAATTATAATTAAATTCAAATCTCGAATAAATGTCTACAGCATATTTAACATATTTTGGCAAAAATGATTTTTAAGTTACATTGTTCCATAAGTTTTAAACACCTCGCGTGCTTCTTATGTTTATTACATTACATCACCTTCTGGCGAAATATCTGCAGCAAGTTTGTGTGTATGAAGACGACCGACAAGAATCGTAGATTAACGTCTATAGTCTATACAAACGAGGAGCAAGAAACGTAATAATATAAATTTTCAAGCATTCTTTACACAAAAAGCAAACTGTTTCTAATAAACGTTTTCGAATAGAATTTTTTTTTCCATTTCACTTTTCTTTGCTCGTTTATCTTTAACCGTGATTTTTGAAAAAAGCTCTCAATAAGCAAACTCGAAAGCAAAAAGCATACACGAAACAAAACGGCGCTTGCTCAGGTTCGCAGAGTGGCTGGGCATGCCTAGTAGCGATGCGACAGGAACGCGAAGTTGGAGGAACGCCGTTGGTAGGAATCTCGTTAAAATAAAACTTCGATTTTCTGTTGCTTTGTACGTACACTATCGCTCGGGAATTATTCTCAGTGGTGGCGCAATAGCGAAGTGCCGTCGGAACGCGGTGTCTGCAGTCAAGTCAGTCGCTTTGCCGGCTGTTAGTGTTGTTGGTGCATCGTCGAGAGTGGCCTCGCTCCGAGAGGCACAGGATATTGATTTGCACGCTGTCTCGTACGATTTTCAATTCAGGATCAACCGTGGTGCTTCTCGTACCCCTTGAAACGAGTAAGGTACTTATTTATTCTCGTGCACCACATGCAATTTCATCTTAACAGAAGAAATCTCGAATAAATTTCCAGCTATTTTGTTAAAATCACTTGGTATTTTGTACAAAATATATATGAGGCAACTGGACTGGGATTGGATCAAAAGATCGTGATATTTTTATATATTGTCTCAGCTGGATCGTGATATTAGTAAAACATAGGATATATTGATCGTCACGATTGTAATTGTGATATAAAGGGATATAAAGAGTCGTGATAGTGGAACATCAAAATGCATCGAATTTTGCATAGTTATAGTATAGTAATATCTTATCTGGTTTCGATATCTAATAATAACTTAAAATGGTCGTGTTATTTATCTTTTAAAACATTAACTCGTAGGTTTTTGTTATATGTATATAAAGTGACGATGTGACATTCGAGCATGAAAGATTCATCGGGGCGTTTTACGCGGTTCTGGATGTAATATTGATCGTGACACGTTGCACATAGGTATAAATGATCGTTGTTGTGGCACTCGCGTATCCCTATAGCGAAAGGTTGCGGTTGTCGGAGCTGTAACACGTGCGTCTCCAAGACAAGGAGGCCGTCCAAGCAATCTCGTGCATCTTTGAAACAAAGAACCTTGTCGTATTAATTCGGTGTAAGTTCTTTAACAAAGAGACTGACCGTGGTTCGTAGCATGACTCTCGGATGCAAACATCGTTCGTGGCGTGTTTTTGTTGGCTTCAAAATAGAAAAGACTGGCCGTGGCATTTAAATGCGCTAGAATTTAATAAAATTTAAGAAAGTTTGGTTCGATATGCGAATAATTGATACGATTACGTCGTCAACCCTTAAAATGCTAAGTATTGATCGCTACACTTTGTGCGAGTCAGAAATAAAGCTACTGATTGTGTTACCTTACATAATTTTGAACCGCCAGAGAGTAATCGTTCTACATAGAAGTTAACTTTCCTATATGTAAAATAGAAAATAAAATTAATCTTCTTTGGTGCAAAAGCAGCGACGTTATTCTCGTGGAAACGTTCTTACCCTGAGTAGAAGAACAGTACGCGATATAATTGGTCTTTTCATATTCGATATACATATAAGGAAACTGATCATCGTGTTACCTTTTGCAGTTCCGAGGTACGGGTACCAGAACTCAGCGAACAGACTGGGTGACGCTGGATCATGGATGTTACACTTTTGCTGTTAGCTCTGGGTGTTATTGCTGCGATGTTCGGTGTTGTGGCGACGAGGTTCGGTTTCCCTGGGTTCAACAAGATTGCCCAGGTCGCGCTTGCTTTGGCCTTACTTCCAGTTATCTGCAAATTTCATCGGAAGCTATATATCATTTGCAAAGTTCTACCTCGTGACCTAAAGTAAGTCCTAAATCTATTATTATCGATCGACTGCTAATTTTAAGGCATTCGTGGAGAGTTTGAAAGTGTAACAATGAACATAATGCAGGAACGTACAAAACACCCAAATTATAGTGCTCGTTATAAGATTTATTACGGTATGTAAAATAATTCTTTATCTAGAATCTTTTTTATATTGGCGAAAATATAAATTTTCGTAAAGTTATCAACGTTACACGCGGAAACTGATAGGATCGAAGTAGAGAAAACTTTTCACCAAATATTGGAAATCGTTGAATGCCGATAATTGATGAATCGTATAGAATGTATCAGATAGCGAAAATTACATAGTATTCGTTAACAACTCTTTCTGACTGCGTCAGAGGTTATTCAGGAGGTAGTAGTAAGATATTACTTAAAAATACAATGAGAAAGTGTTGAAGCTTTTAGGAAAATGAATATTTATTTATATAGCTATATCGATCTCGGTTTAAAGTGCATAAGGTCTTCGCGAGACTATTGTACGACAAGCTTTATTACTAGAGAAAGTTCACGTCTGGAAATTTATACTATGAATCTCTTTGGATGTGCTATATTTCGTAGCCTTACCATGTGCAGGTCATTCGCTGCGTTTATGAAGTATTTATAAAAGCAATGTTCATTAGTCTAGACTAAACATTTCACAGTTATCGTAACTATATAATATTTCGTTTCCTTGTGACTGTTTAATTTATTTTTTATTACGTTAACGCGTAAGACAGCGAATTTTGCAACATTTATTTATTCAAAAATCTACTTATCATATTTTTTCGTTATATTTATTATGTAGTTAGAAGGAGAAAGCTCATTAATAAAGGAATAATGACAAAGAAAAATATAGGAAGCTCGGTTCTCTGTACGCTTGATCTCAATAACTCAACGTTCATATCGCGGCTCCTTATCAGTCTTTTATCACCTGCTTCGCTCTACACAAAGTCATTACCAGTACCTTCGTAGAGCCTTTTTGATTGTTTTTCAAACGTTTCGCTTTCGTCCGCGACGAGAAAGTACTTGCTCATACCAGATGCGTTTCTTCAATCATCAACGGTCACTGACCTGCCTAAGGCTACGCTCGTTGGCTAAAAAGACCGTTAGAGAAAAGAAATGCTTACTTTGGTAAATATGCTCGTATCTACTCGTTTTTCTGTACGTATATGTCGCAAAAGTAATGCACACGTTACTCGATAGTACGGCAAAGTGATATCGGTAGTGCCAGTATCGAGAGCAGAACGCGGAATTATTTGTCTAATGCGAGAAACATAGTTCCGTTGCCATCGATGGTTAAATGAACTTCGATTGCGGAATACAAAGGTTAACGGAGTAGATTAGAGAGGGATGATTTGATAGAATATTTGAAGATCAAACAAGATGTGAGAAGGGTATGGAATTGTTATTGGAGAAAAATGGATCGTATCTCTCTCTCTCTCTCTCTCTTTCTCTCTGCTGCTATTACATCTCGTAATAAATACGTTCCTCGCACTTTTCTGTACCCAAGAGTTGTCTGTATTCGTTGCATTGTGTCGACGCATAATAGTATCAGTCAGTCGAGCGTATTTGTAAAAGTTGATACAAAGCTGATCGAGTACAATTTTCTGTATGACAAAGGCTTAAGAGACGGAAAAAACGTATCTTTCTATTTAGTATTTTTAATAGCTTTTAATCTAGCGATATGAGATCGATCAGTAGAAAAAGTAGAGTTAAATTGCGTTATAAAATATGAAATCGAAAAGGAAGATGCTTCTGGTATTATCTTGTTATCACTGAGATCTTTATCAAAAGCTCCTGTCTTGTTGTGTTTCGCGATTATTTGCTAATTACATATATACTTTGCAAATCAAAGAATCGTAAATACGAGCGTAGAAATCTCGTCGGATCTTTCCTAAGTCTATTTTAATACTATTTGTCGCTCCTGATCGGAATTAGCAGCGATTATGTTCTCGCATCACTATATACGATATACACAAGGTAATGAAAAAAGATAAATTTTCCTATTTGTCCAGTAGATAGCTGAACTATTTAAATACGTATACGCATCACGACTAACTAGTACACAAGATTTTATATAACTACTTGTTATAATTGACATCGTAGGATGAACATCAAAGCTTGTTATTACTGGAAAAGGTGCACGTACGCGCATCGCACTTCCTGTGACTGATAAAAATTCCAAAGTTCAATCAATGTGTATCTTTGGCCATGCGATAATGTCATTTAAACTAACTTATCACTGACAAACAAATTTGAATCGGTTGTAAGTTTTACTTGTTTTGTCATAATTGTTCAAAGTTCAAACGTTATATACGATGTCCCATCAATGGCGTCCCGATAAATGATCATTCACATTAAAACGTGTTATGTCTATGATATGAAACGTAATATAAATAGTAGCGTAAACAGCAATGAAATTTTACCGTCCAATAAAATCGTAGGTAAATGTTTGCGTATAATCACAGTTCCTGTATCATTCTAAATATTTGTTTCAAACAAACGACACAAGCAATCTTGAATTTTATAATTTTCTGTATGATAGAAATAGAATATTTTGGTGAAAAAATAGAGAACACAGCGTTAAGCGAAGTGAAAAGTTTCGATCTTAATTATCGAAGCCGAAGAAGTTGGATAATTTTCAACTTTGAACGATGGGAATTCGAGGAAAAAATATACGACATTAAAAAACATAGGAGGACAAAGGGTGATGAACCGACGGTTCTAAATATGATTAAAATCCGAAGAAGACATAGAAAATAGAAAGCGAACGAGGGAGAATGGATTATACAGTGTTGAGTATTTATAATTAGAATTTTAAGACATAAGATGGATAGCGGAAGGGAGTATGCAAGCCTGGAGGTCTAAAAGAAATAAATCTAACATCTTCTTTCGTTTACAAGTATTTGATGAAAAATCAAGATCTATACAGGGGACTTTAAGCAACGTTTTAACTCTATGTTCCTATTTCGAGTATAAAATTTCGAGTTTTTAAATCCGACATGATTGCGTATCTTCGCAATTTTTCATGATTAAATTTCACAGAGAAAACTGGAAATATAAGGCATAGACAACGAAGGAAAGTAGATTATCTAAATTTAAGTTTCCTTAAAATTCCAAAAAAAAAAAAAAAAAAGTAAAACGTACAAGGCATAGATAGATAAGAAATTTTTCAATTTTAAATATTTTGCAATGAAATTGGAAGATAAGAATATGCAACGCATTAGACGATAAGAAAATGTAGGTCATCTTTTGTTAGACGTTACATTACGTACATACGTATATTAGATATAGACTACCAACATATCGCAACATATGTATATGTTTACAATTTCTTTATTAAATCGTTTCGAACATTGTTGACTTAGTCGTAATTTTAAAATTGCGCTCAATATTGTATGTGCGAATAAAACTAATTTATATCAATTATAAGTTTAGCAGTATGCCGTTAATTAGTAGCGTATTCTATCAATGCGAGTAAATTTACTTCTTATAGAAAATGAATTTGTTATCTATTGATTTCTAGTCAAACTGTTACCTTCGTCTTTTTTTCTTTTTCTATCTAAGATACGATACGATGTAATATCTTCGTTGCCAACTTTTCTAGTATACAAAGCGTTTCTAGCATATTGTACTGTATTACTTACTGTAGGCGTTATCTAGCAACTTTTGTCATTACCGATGTTAATGACACTAGTTTTTACCTTTTCGTTAGTATTTACATACTTACTTTTAACTTATCAAATCTAACAATTAAATACGATGCGTGTAATCCGAAAAGATTACGAGGAACTCCGAAAAGATAATACTTTTAAAGATAATTCTTTTTTTTTGATAAAATCGTAGGCAAAGTAGAGTTCCCGAATCTTGAAAATTCGCTAAAATATTTTTCTGATAAATATGTTTATTTGGAGAAATTAGCAAGGTTCGATTCATGCTTCGTGAAATTAAAACAGATAAATGTTATCTTGTTTGTGCGAATATTTTTTTGAATGAACGTAATTGCGTCAGTACGTAAAAAATTAAGATCAATTTTTTTTAAGGCATCGTAGTATCGAAAAAACGCGATAAACGCGAAACAAAAATTTAAACGACGACTTTAAATTGCAAATGCAATAAACATATAGCTAGAAGAGAGATTCAAGTTTTTCGATAAAAATATATAATTTTATCAAACTCTTAATCTCGTGAAAAATTATGTTTATAATTTTCAGATTCCTGTATCGTGCCGTTACGGCAGAAATCGAAATAAAAGGGCAACGTCGAAACAATATGACCGTCGTGAAGGTTTTTAAGAAAAGAGTGGATCGTTATCCTAACAAGCCTTGCTTCTTCTTCGAGGATCAAGTTTGGACTTATTCCGACGTACGTACATATGCAACGTGCGAGCTCAATAATTTCGATCGTGGACGTTAATTTCTTATTTGTCGATTTTTTAAATCTTTCGGTTTTCTTTAAAGAGCATCGAAGCAGAGGAAGATTACATTTTCGTTTATATGTCTGCAGGAATCTTGTCCGTTGAAAATAATTTTCATTTGTTCTAAAACACGAATACACCTGTAGTAGTGTATAAAAAGGTTGTAAATTAATTCAATTAATTCCTTAAACAGAATTATAGAGAGCCAGAGACAGGTATTTCATGCATCATTACAGATTCAAGCGAAAAAACGTCTCTGTTTATTTTACTCTCCTTTTTTATTTATTATTTATTATTTGCAAATAGTACACCGGATATAACGATTGGTTATTTTTTCTCTTTCATCTGCAGATATAAGAGACAATAAGAGGATAATGTTTAAAAATTCAAACTTGCAGATTAACAAATATAGCAACCAGATAGCATATATTTTTCAAAAAGCTGGCTACGTAAAAGGAGATGCTGTGGCCTTAATGATGCCCAATAGACCAGAATATGCCGCGATTTGGCTTGGCCTGGGAAAACTCGGTGTCGTTACTGCACTGATTAACACGAATTTGCGTCTCCAGTCTTTGATTCATTGTCTTCGTATCGCTGAAGTGAAGAGTATCATTTACGTGGAAGAATACTCGTCTGGTAAATATGACATGGACGTGATTTATCTCGCAACAATTACAACGTGATAAAGAAAGAGGAAAAAGGCAATCGAAGGAACGAGACATCACAAAGAAATCGTTATTTAAGATGTAGAACAATTATTCAGTAAAGATCATTGTTAATGGAATTGGAGATAACTTGCTATCTTTAACGTTTAATTTATTACAAAATGTGATTTTCTTTGATTACACATGTTTATTTTAGTCGAGTGTGAAAGGTTGTTTAAATAACAGAGGGTGAATAACAGAGAACTGTAAATCAAGTGCTTGTTCAGCCATTGAAATCGTTAAAATAAAGTTGAACAGACATTTCGGTATATTCTCCCAACGATTGTGTGTAAATCGTAGTATAAATTATCGAATTTTCTACGTCAGAAATAACGATGATCATAGAAATGTAGGTAGCACAAGAATTCGGACAAATATATAAAAATTAAATTGTTTTCTTAGCCGTCGATGACATTATGGACTCGATCCAGGGAATCGCGAGATACAAAGTATGTTTCAAGTCTGAAACCTGTGAGAACGGAGTGTACGATTTGAACAAACTTATATCGGAAGCCAGCACGAACGAGCCTGTCGTAAAAGACGAACCCAATTACCGGGATAAGCTGCTATACTTTTACACAAGCGGTACCACTGGTTTACCGAAAGTTGCAATAGTTCTCAATTCGAGGTAAGAACCCATATTCTTTAAATCTTTCCCTCAAATGTAGCGAAACGAGGCTTTTATCCTGTTACCTTTAGTTCGATTAAGAGAGGGTGATTGGCTTACTTAGTATTATTTGTAAAATTATTATTTCCAATCGTGTTAAATATAATCGTTAGTTTTGAAAGTATAGTTATAGTTTTAAAAATATCAAGCAAGCGAAACACATTCTGTATGACGCGGTTTGATTTTTTTTTGCATTGAACTTTAACTAAAAAGTGGTCAAGGTCGATAGTATCGTTGGATACTATACCCTAGAATTTACTATAATCTTTAACACAAAAGTTGATTTATTATGTAAATATATCGACCCTCCGTACCTAGGTCGGTCTTGAACGACAAAATTAAGACAACGCTTTAGAGACTTAAAGTCAGATCAACGGTATTCCTTTTAATGGTATTATATGGCTATTGAGTAAATCTCCTGATTACGATTAACTTTGTAACATAATTATAGAACCGATAATTCCAGGTCTGCATAATTGCATTATCTAAAATCTAATAAACAATATAATTCGAACGAAACTCTAAAGAGAAAAATTATTGTAGAAAAGGAAATAAAATTTTAAAGGTAGAAATGATTGTACATGCATGAAACATTGAACGTTTCATTTATTAGACATTTTACTACTACAAATAATTGTCATTTCTAGCGTGGTAAATTAATTTATTGTTAGCAAATAAAATATTTTTAACCAAGTTTTTTTCTACGGATTACGGTATCGTTGGAAATATTTTATCGAAAATATGTAATTTTCCATTCTGCTCGTTATACAGTATATAAAAAAACAGATAACGAGCCCGATTTGTACTGTTAGAGCAATTTTTAGTAAAGGTTTTTAAACTTTCATTTATGCTTAGACAGAGTTCCGTGTACAGAATGAATTATCTACCTGCTGAACGTATAAATGATCTATAATCCTCTCAGGAAAGCCTTACGACTCGTCGAGAATGAGATTACATGTAAATGTAGTCTCTTTACCCAGAGACTGCTTCCTGTCTGCCTGCATTATGACTGTTTTATGCCACTAATAAAATACCCTAGCTCCTGTCCATGTCAACTTTCATTTCGATTTATCGTTAATTCTTTTGGATGAAATAAAGAAGCAATTTAATTCAATCGTACGTCATATATTAATTTTGAACATGGCTTGCAATGAAAAAGTATATAGAAAGATTTTAAGAATTTCTTTCTATTTTAGATTCCTGCTTTTTATAAATATTTTATTTCTGCTAACATTCTTTAAAACTATTTCAATTTCAAGCTCGTCAGATAAGATTACATCAAATCAGACAATAACGCTTTGAGTGATTACTATTTATCATATAAAAGTACTATTTGTGTTATAAATAATTGAAACAACGTTAATCATTTCGTTGTACTTTATGATACATAGAATAAAAATAATAACGTAACGTATGTGTTACAGATACTTGCTGGTCGTAATGCCCTTCAATTTGGTGGGCTTGAGATCGGGTGATATCCTATACAATCCAAATCCCTTGTACCATACTGCTGGTGGAATGCTTGGAGTAGGTTTCGCAATTCTGAAAGGTATACCAACCGTGTTAAGGACCAAGTTTTCAGTGTCGGCTTATTGGACAGATTGCATCAAATATAATTGTACCGTAGGTGATTTACAAAATTTTTATACTGTATAGCGATCTCAGTGAAATTAATGCTTACAAAATTGGATTTTCAATTCGCTCATTTTCGTCGCGATATCCGTTAGTCTCTCCAAAGCAGAAGGAACGGCTTATAAACGAGAATAAATTAGTACATTGCGCTATACAGATTTGAGTCATTTTGCCATGTGTAAAATTACATATTCGACGTTATTTTGTTCCTAAACTTTATGAAAAATAATTAATTTACTGATATCGTTAATACCTCTAAAACATCCAAATTATATTAAGTGTTTTCATTGCTGATTAATTTGCAACAATTGCATAATTTATAAGAGAATATTTTGTATTATTAATGCGTTTTTAATTATTAAGTTAGTGCACTGCGTAGTGTAACAATTGATTGGACATTGTGCAATTTTTAAATGTAATAGCCCGTTCCTATAAAATTGTAATTTTGTTTGTTAGGCAGCACAATATGTCGGTGAAATGTGTCGTTACTTGCTGAATGCACCCCCCAAACCGGAAGATAATGCGCATCGTTTGAGACTCATGTTTGGAAATGGCATGAGGCCGCAGATTTGGGGCGAATTTGTCAAACGCTTCAACATTAAACGAATTTCCGAATTCTACGGATCTAGCGAGGGCAATGCTAATATTGGTAACGTTCGATATTTTAATTATATATCTAGGAACGTTATGTAAAAACATTTGGAAAATATTCTTATATTTTATTCAATTTCGAATTTCGATCATATTTTATATCGTAATCAATTTTACTTACTTATAGCATTCAAATAAAATTGTAACAATAAATCACAAGCTGATATTCCTTATTGTAATTTTTATATTTAATTCTTACAGTAGAGATTCTTAAATAATTCGTTATTGTTGTATTACAGCCAATTTAGACGGTCGAACTGGCGCCGTCGGTTTTGTGCCACTAATCGTGCCACGAGTGTTTCATCCTCTAGCAATTATCCGCGTAAATAACCAGACATACGAGCCTGTTAGAGGAACCAATGGCTTATGTATAAGAGCAGAAACAAGTAAGAATTTAACTTTGATATTAAACAATTCATAACGGATGCGAAAGCAAACTTTGCTGAAATATTGGTTTTGTCGTGTTAAATTTATTTTTGTAATACACTTAATACGAAATTCTACTTATTTTCTCTGCAAAACTATCTTTTTTTTTTTTTTGATAGATGAGCCAGGCATGTTCATAGGATTAATAAAAGAAGGAGACGCGTTAAGAGAGTTCAATGGATATCTGGATAAAGAGGAATCGAAAAGAAAAATAATACAAGATGTGTTTGTGAAAGGTGATAAGGCCTTTCTAACAGGTGAGTTGTACTTTAATAACTGATAAGGGACTTATACGCAGTCGTAAAAGGACCTTCGTCCAATCAAATGTTCGTTTAAATAAAAGTCTTTACCACCAACGATTTTCTCTTAAGATAATTTCTATTTTCTGGAATTCTTTTCTTAGGTGATATTTTAGTAGAGGACGAATGCGGTTATATCTATTTCAAGGATAGAGTAGGCGACACGTTTAGGTGGAAGGGAGAAAACGTTGCTACTGCAGAAGTGGAGGGAGTTATCAGTAATATTGCAGGAAAAAGAGACGCTACCGTTTACGGAGTTCAGGTTTGTTAACAAAAATAATTATATCCGCTTTTAATATAACATTAATACATAGATAATTTTAATAAAAGACGTAGTTAATTACTATGTAAAACTTGTCACACTTTTTTGTATATAGAGTTTGACTTGTTTGTATTTTAAATCTAAAAACGTGAATTAATTTTAATATGACCGAAGGTGCCTGGAATGGAAGGAAGGGCAGGAATGGCAGCGATAGTTGACCCAGACAGCCTTCTGGATTTCAAAGCTCTTGCGGAAGGTTTAGAGAAAGCACTGCCAGCATATGCTAGACCAATCTTCTTGCGAATTGTGAAAGAACTGGAAATAACAGGGACATTTAAGTTGAAGAAGATGAACCTTCAAAAGGAAGGTTTCGATCCGAGCAAAATTCAAGACAAGATGTACTTCTTATCCGGTAACAAAGAATACGTCGAAATCACACCAGAACTTTATCAAGAGATTATTTCCGGATCGAGAAAGTTCTAGTTGTAACATTAACGCTTGGCGAGCGACACTCGATTGTCGAATATACTTGTAAAACGAGTACATATATAACTTTTTTTACAACATGAATATGACTTTCTGCACGCGCCTTGTAGATACAATGCATAGGATATTATGTAATAACATCAGGCATGTTAAACCATAGAATTATAGGCGGATGTTTTTTGAACTTATGAAAAGAAAGGGAGAGAGTTATTTTTACGAGGGCTCAAAAATAGGAAAAAGAGATAAGCGAAAAAGAAATTACATTTTTGTCATCAACGACGGGAGACGAATATGGTGACATGTTCCTGTTTATTTTATAAATACTGTGTATATTTTTAATCAAACGAAACGGTCCGTAGTATAAGACAAATTGGCATTGTAGGTAGGAAGATAGCAACGAATAAAGTCATTCTTAACACGTAATGCTGATTTTTCATCAGAAATACCTTATTTAAGCATATAGAAATTTCTCAGGTCTTTAGATAATTCTACCTGCGACTATAAAACAATCAAAAAGAAATAAATTACTTACGTCTGCAGTATTTAGATTACATGTAATTTGTCACCTCGTATATCGTTTGCAAATTTATTATTTATACGTATATGTTTATTGAATTTGCACTCGTCCCATTTGCGTTTATACCAAAATGCCGATAGATTAAAAACAAAATGTGAATATACACGATGATTAAGCATAATATTATATGTAAGCTCAACTTATTCTACTAGCTCCGTCAAGATATGATAGATGTATATAAGTTTGTTAAAAAGAATTGACATTTAATCAAACATAATTTCACTTCCACTCTAAACTACTTAAAAGTAATACATAGTTTGTTGTACTTAGAAATCTGTATTTGTATACATATATGTTTTAATAGCGCACTACATTGTCCATATACTCGACCAAAGTAATGGTGCAACTAATTATTTTAAATAATATTTATTTTAATGAAATATTAAATCTTTGTTTTTCTGTATGTATAATCTTCGTAGATTTGATACTTAAAATATCGTATAGACGTTCTCGATTCTGAAATATCTGAACAATATTCACGTTAAAATTTGTATAGACGATTGATAAAATTAAATTACGTATTTTACAAAATTTTATCAGTGATCTTATTAACTAATTAATTTGTTATTTAATAACTGTTTAACGGTTTGTGAACAAAGACTCTGTTTATATTTTTATATATAAAAAAAATTGCAGTTGTATTCAATATCTGATAAATCTAAAAATTAGTATTTCAAAATGATATACGTCGTAAAACTTTCCTGATTTCAATATCATTTGGAAATTAAAGTACTTTAAATTACTAGTTTTATTATTTATTAGATATTACCGACTTGTATATTATTAGTCAATATGGTATTGATATAGATTGTTGTAAATAAATAATTACACTTTATATAACGTGCGACAATCTGATTTATTCCTTAGTGTCACATCGTATTATTAAAGTATTATCTTCAAACTTGAGGATAATTTCTTTTACTAATTTAACATTGTGTTCGAGACGGAATGTTTTATAATAATATAGCAGTCTAAAGAAAAAGAAATTAAAATAAAGTCCTGAAAATGTAGTGAATTGATCAAATTAATCTGACGTAGAATATTCGAGTCTAAAGCCTAAATTCACAAAATTTGGTAATAAGTAAAAATTTTAATTTCCCGAAATAATTTTCTTACATACTTGCCTGCTTAAATAAGATACAATATAATATCGGTAGTTTCTATTTATATAATTATAAATTTTATTATTGGTAAAATAATTTCACAAGATGCACAAAATTATTATGTACTATAGACGAAGGTAACAACCATTCGATATAGACATAGGTGAAAAATTAAATAAATCATTTTATTAGATTTTATTAATGAGTTATTTCACCCCGTCTGCTTTAATTATTCATATAGAAACGTCATCTTATTATTTACAAACATGAACATGACACAATTGCAATATTCATATCACAAATAATAATTATGGCAATTACAAATAGCTTCGATATTAACGGAGCTAAAACAAGTTTTCCCTAATTTTTATAACCGATCTGCAGCTATATCTAGACGATACTAAATTCCTTTAAAAGATCTAATTTGTTTACATCATATAACGATGACGTAATTATTTCATACTTTTTAAGTCATATCAACTTGCTTCAACTTACATTCATTAAATATGAAATAGATGATAATATACATAATGCAATATAATACTTGTATGCAAAATTATCGTATATTCAAAATTCGAATATAACAAAAAATGATAAATGTAGTATCAATTTAATAATAAAGTATCTCGTGTCAGATTTTTGTATATAGAAATAAATTTAACTATGATTTTTGGATATTAAATATTGCGGAATGATTGTGTATATTCAAGTATTTATGTACGGAAAAAGATGATATTTTATATGTTGCATGTAGTACATATTTTTCACTAATTTATTTTGTAATGTCAGTGTATGACGAATGTCAAAATTCTTCTATATTTGACTTATTTTACCTAAATAATATTTGATGCTACATATTTTAGTGGGCATTTTGGAAGCTAACTATGACCAATATTTGTTCACGCGAATAAATTATACGCGTATTATGAAGGCTAAATATTTTACAAAATTTATGAAATTTCTAGCTTGTAAACTTTTTCCATTTGTGTCCTCCCTAATTTCTCAAGTATTTATAATCATTTGCGACCGATCATCGACGCGATCCAATTTTTTGATTTTACCCACGAATCTGTGGCCACTTTTATGATATCTATAGAAAGAGAAATTTGTTTCAGCTATCAGCTAGGCGGTATAGCTTTGGCAGTTTGTCCAAAACCTAAATTAGGCCGTGTACCAAACCATGACATTTTCCACTCCAAAGTTTCTTGCAACAACCGCTCTTCTTCGGGTGAAAAATGCAAAAGAGTAGCTACTGCTCTTGTTAAATGAAGAGCCTTAAACAAATGAACAAAATGTAAGTTAGAAAATAGTTGAAAAATTATAAATATCTCATGCATTTCTTTTCATTGTTGTTTAACAAAATTATTTCAGCATACTATTCTTAGTAATTTATTTTACATATTATGGTTTTGGAATTTTAGAAAGTACATTACATTTACCTCGTATTCCCTACTTGTTAGGAACTTTATGAGAACGTGTTTAAGGTATTTAAAGTTAACATCGTCGTCTCTTGTGCTATTGTGCCTGGCAGTGACCGTTTTCGACGAACTGGGCTTGAGAATTGCTGCAGAAGGTTCAACATCGCTATCCAATGATGAAGATGGAACTCTCAACTCTCGTTGAAGGGTCTTTTTCATATCGGTTAGTCGCTGCTGTAAGACTTTGATTGTCTAAAAATATATTCGATAATTAATATTATTCTCTGAAATATATTTTCATAGATCTATTTTTCAAGTCTACCTTAGTCTTTTCATTTAATTGCTCCTCTAGGTCCATTAAGCTACTTTTAAGTAGTTTTTCATTTCTCTCTATCTTTTTCCTATTTTGTTCTACTTCCTCCAATTCCAACATTTTCTTTTTAGTTTCTTCTAGCGTCGTCATTGCTTGTTCTACTTCTTTACTTTTACTTAGTAAATTGTGCTCTAAGGTTTCTATTCTATTTTGTAACTCAATATTTTCGACTTCCTGCTGTCGATTCTCTTGCTTTACCATTTCTATGTCTTGGGAGACTTGAGCGTTTCTCAATAATGCAGTGTCTTTTTCATTTTTTTCCTTTTCTAGGCACACTTTTAATGTTGCTGATGCTGTTCTTTCAGATTCCAGATCTTCCCGTAGACGCGCTACTTCTAAATGTAAGGAAGAATTATTCATCCGTTCACCTTCTAGAGTCAGACGAACATGGGCTAATTCTGAAGTAGCAGTTGAAAGTTTTGCTGTTGCTTCTTCTAGATCTTGTTTCAGCCGGGTTATTTGCTTTGACGATGATTCCTGACAAAAGAAAGCAAACAACAAAACAATGTGAGTGATATCTAATATTATAATGTTGAAACGAAATAATTGTAGTTTGGCAATGATTGAATTTATTTAAAATATGCTTCGTTATCTACTTCTTCATTACCTACTTCATTATCTACTATCTTTGGAATTTATGGTAAAATGGATTTATCAACAGAATTTATTCAACAAAATTTAATGTTCAAAGTGATAACGTTTTATGAAAAGTGACATTAATAAGAATAACACAAGTAACAATAACATAGAAAAGTATAGAGTAATAATGATACTTTCAGAAAAGAATATGATACGTAAGTCTTATATCTTAACTAAAGTTAAAATTTGCAAGTTAATATAAATTTATCAAAATATTTTTAAATTAAACAATATTCGCAAAACAGTATGACGGAAGGCATTATAAAACAAAAAATATTTAATGAACAGAAATTTTAAAAATTGAATAGGAGATTATTGTATCTTATCGACTTTGTAACAATTATACTTAAAATGGATAAATGCACATGTAATAAAATGGAGATATTAAATTTATATGAAGAGAGTATATAAAAATGTAAAATATTTATCAATTCATTTTATATGATAAACAAAATAATGTCGGAACGCGCCATTGATTCCGAAGTTCACACCTGCAATAAATTTTAATTTGAGTACATTTGATTAATTAAAAAAGCTTTCTGTTATATCTTCTGCCTTTCTGCAAGATTTTCGATTCTATATAACCATTCTATCTTCTATTCTATACGAATATGGATACGATACGTTTTCCTTTAATTGTATCAGCTTGGATACGCATTCCTAATATTTACAGCAACGTAAATATAATCGGACTGTGTCGTTGGTGTAGCAAAATATAATATGATTTATTAACCCTGTAAGAAAAAAATCGTGTACACATTTGTGTATATAATAATATATAAAAAGCCGCTTGAAAAAGGGGGATATAAAAATGGGTTAAAAACAAGCACAAAAACGAATGCAATAAACGATATAATTTATTTGTTCTTTTCTTTATTCCACAAATAAAATATACAGAAATGCGATCGTACATAAAAATATTATTGTTGGTACTATCTAATTTTCATGTATAAATACACGCGGAGTGGAAATGTGGAAGTTTTAAAAAGTAGTCTACAATTATTTTTGTTTATTGATACGTGATACTGATGAAATATAATGTACATTATAAATTTTTGCATGCATATAAAAGTAAATAAAAAAATTATAAACAAAAGAGTGTGCTAGTAAATATACGTAAAATAAATGTTCTGTGCGTTAAGCGTCAAGCATCATAGATATAACATGCAAGTATATAGGCGATATGTAGTTTTCAATTGTAAATTAACAACTTTCGTGTATACACGTTCCAGACATTCATATTTTTACGCGTCCAGTGTTTTTACACTAATGGTGTAACGTCATAAACATTTAGTAATTTATAAAATTATTAAAACACTTATAACAAATCAGAAAATAAACACAACTTTATGCGATCACAGTTAATTTAAAAATGAAAGAAATTATTCGAGATGGAAATATCAACTTCCTTTTTCAAATATTAACAAAACAGGAATTATAATATATCTATATCATATATATCTAATATCTATGTTGGAAATTCTATCGTTATACATTCTTTAAAAAATTAAATCTATTATTCAATGCTGTGATCATTTGAAAATTGCCACCTGACAAATGGGGAATGTTCGTTACTTTTGCATTTCAAACTCTAACAAGACATCCTCTTCGAAACAATCTAGCCCATGCACGACTACATATCGCGGTAACTCACAATTTGTCGTTTAAATTCGTCCACCTCATCATCGACGCTGGCCCGGAGCTCTTTTAGTTCCGTGGCCATCTCGTCGATGTCCTCTGCCATGCGCAAAAGCTTGGCGTCTTTCGTCGCCATGACAACATTGTTCACCTCTATTTCAGCTTCTAGCTGCTTAATCCTTTGCTTCAGTCTTTCACTTTCTTCTTCGACTCGTCTCCTTTCCAAACCTTCTTCACCAGCCTGTCTACTAAGTCTTCCAACTTGTGTCTCCAAGCTAGATATTTTTCCTGACCAACTAGTCTTTATATCGGATAAATGAAGATGAGCTTCTTCTAACTTTCTTTCTAACAGTGCTCTTTCTCTCATAAGATCAGCTATTCTTTCATCCACTGTCACTTGATCATTACTCTCTAATGCGACTCTTTGTTCTAACACAAAAACCTTATCCTTTAGGTGACGTACTTCTTCTTCGGTTTGTGCCAGTTGACAGGATAGCTGAGCTCTCTCACGCTGGGTAGAATGACGTAGTGTCTCCATTTCATCCTGAAAATGGTGATATTATTACCAGGAATGTTTTTTTATATTTATTATTATTACATTTTGCTCTGTAAAGCTTCATTGCAAACCTTACCAAAGCATTGCTCTAATGCATAAAGATGAATAGAATATTATAAATAATCCAAACCTTATAAAGCCAAGAACAAGCGAATGATGAATTTGATGGTTAATGATAATAATGCTGAAAGTGAATAAAATGAAGAAAAAAATTTATGAAGCAAAACTAAATAGTGTTGAATAAATTTTTTGTTCAAAGTCTCTTCAAATTTTCCATTAATTGCTATATAACTGGATATGACAAAAATTTAAGTTTATAAGAGACATTTTATTATTTAAAATAATTATTCCACGCTGTTACGAGAGTAACAACATTGGAGTATGAGTACTGCAGTAGAAATAGTTGAGATATTTTAAATTAAATTTTATTATAATACTATATATAATAATTTCTTTACCATTAAACCACTTCCATTAGTTAATACATGCATTTCTCCTATATTATAAAATTTTGCACCAAGGAGAGAATTACATAAAGAGCAACATTGATGTAAGTAAAATCTATAGAAGTTATTTATGTTGCAGAATAATTTATTGCAGAATAGCAGCAAAGCTTTGAAGACGTACCTCTAGCATCAGCGGTAGCAGCAGCGAATTAGCGGAAAATACCGCCTACTCTGATCTCCAATGCTCTCGTTTATCAAAGTTTTCCAATCTTCATGCGTATGTCGTTTTCACAAAACTTTCAGTATCACTTAGGTATTGCTCATGTTCCATAACCAATAAAAGAATATTGTTCTTTCACAATTTGTTTGTACTCAACAAAATGCCTGTTCTTTCCCAAACTAAGTTTAATAAAATGGAAGTAAATACTTCCTATCAAGTATTAAAAGCGCATTCTAAGAGTACAAATAAGAGTTATGGAACATATGCTCATTTGTTTTATTTTAAAATATATTCCAAATATTCTAAATATTCAAATAATTAAGATTCTTGACTAAATGTCACCTGTTCATCATAGATTGATACTATGTGTCAATACAAAAAATGTGCAGAAAAACATGGCAAAAACGTGACAAAACAAAAAGCTATATATAAAATAAAAAAAGGAGAAAGAAAAGTAGTGGGAGGCTTAAAAACAAAACTAATTTTTAAAAGGAAGCGTGCTTATACCTAAAAAATATGTTTATGGTCATTATTTTTGTAGCGGACCACATGATCAATAATTGGCACTATAAAGGTAAATATTCATTAAAAAAAACATTATGACAAACAAAAAGAATTGACTTTTCCATGCAGCTTTATCCCTTCTCATTAAAAAATGTTCAATGTTATAAATGAATTTATAACACAAAATGCAATATATGAAAAGCTACTATTGAAATATTAATTCATGACAAAATAATATCTAATATTTACTTTTAAACCAAATTGTTATGAAATTATCTATATAACACTATATATATACACATAACAAATTAATTCATTTGCAATAAGAAATAATTTGCATTTATTAGAAACAATACTATTACAACAAGGACAAATTTAGATTATATCTTATCAATAATACTGTTTTATCTTATAAATCAAAAACAAACTTTAATTGTTATTTTATCGAACCAATCATTTCTTTATACTAATTCCTTACATGTGACAAAGTAAAGCTGTTAATTTGTAAAATACAATGCTCATCTAATGGAAATAGAATAACTTAAGATTTTTATGGGATTACTTCTTTTTCCTTAAAAGCTACAAACTGCTAGACTCTGCAAAGTTGTGACAAATTTTGTAAGTAAATAAAAAGTAAATGTAAACCTAAAATATTAAATCTAAGATAGTACTTGTAAATGTTCATATATAGCTTAATATTTAACATAGAATATTTTTGTGTGGAAAAAAATTTTTAATATATTTAAAAATAAAAGATTTATATAAATATACTTAAACTCAATTTAAAGTATAGTCCATGTTTACTCACTTAAATGATGTCAATCATCAAAGCAACTTATATTAACACAACTATATTAAATAATTATGTTAACATAATTTTGAAGTTTATAATACATTTCACGTGATAATTAAAATGAAACCAATCATTAGATAATTTACTCACCTGTACATTGTTCAATTCATCTTCGTATCTTCTAAGACGAGAGACTTCACTTTTTAAACTATCAATTTCTGCAGTGGCTGCTTTTAAATGATGTGATTTTTCTTCTACTTCCTGTTCTTTTGCCAGTAACTAAATTAAAATAAATAAAATAAATATAGAAGTATATAAAGTATTAAACATAGAAGCGTATTAAGCAGAAAATATAAATGATAAAGGTAAGCTTTTAAAGAAAGAATATATAAAACTTACTAGGTGTTTTATTTTTGCCATTTCTTGAGTTTGGAAACCTTCTAGTTGTTCCGCATCTTCTTGAAAACTATATAATTTTTTCTTGTATTCTGAAACACAATATTAGTTATGAAAATTTAGATACGTATATATAAATTTCATTTGCCACTAAAATTTAAATCAAGCAACATTAATTCGCTTTTTTAAATTTGTATCATATAATTACGAATGTACCTTCTGCATCTTTAAGAGCCAATTCCAATGAACGTTTTGAACTTTCTACATGTCTTAATTCCTCTTCTATCTTATTCTTCTCTTTTTCTTGTTTTTCAACTACTCTTTTCCACTCTTTCTCTTTTTCCAAGAATCTTACTTTCCAATCCTCTTCTTTCTTTTCCATTCGTTTCATTAATTCAGCCTCCTTTTTCGCCAATCTTTTCCGCCATTCATCTTCTCTATTTTCAAGTTTTTTAATATCTTTAGCAGAAAGTTGCATATTATCATTTAATTTAAGATCAAAACTGGTATCTTTTTCCAAAGAAACAGGTGGTAAAGGTGAAGCTATATTTTCCTCACGCGAACCATCTAATGAAATTTGAGATCCACTGATGCTACTCGTGGATCCCGTCTAGAAAAAAAATATCATTCATTGTAATAACTCAGTTTATACGTATGATCATAACGATGCTTTACATTATATTATAGATAAAAATTTATAAAAGGTCTTTTCTACAATTTCATTTTAAACATTTAGTCTGTTATAGACTAATTAAAAACATAATTTTAAACGGTACAAAAATAGCAAAAGTATCTATAAAGTAATGTCTCTAAAATAGACTAAACTATCAGTAGGTATTCGAGCAAATCTTGCGATTATCAAAATTAGATAACGAACATATGAAATATTAATGAATCGTCCGATAAACATATGCGGAATTAATAAAAAACATAAATATCTAACTTAAAATATCGCCAGTACTTTCTTGAAAATTAATGATGATTTAAAGTGACTACTACAAATATAGATCACAATTATAGATCGTTTATAAATAAGTATGCTATGTAGTTGCGTTATCGGTTCCACACTGATAATAAGTTACACATGGTAACAACATGTTTACCTGAGACATATGCCTCGAGTTAATGCCGCGCACATTGCCGGCATTTCTAACGACAGTTGACACGTCACTCCCTATTTCCTCTCGTATTTTATTTTTCAGCGTTGCAAACATGATGCTATAACCTCCAATTAGACGAGCAAAAAATGACAACTAGCACCTGTCAAAGTCGATATTGTGCTGATTCCGTGCCCGTCTATCGGAGCAATGTTAAAGGAAAGAGAGTAAAAATGTAACGTTCCAAGAATTCATTCTTTACTGATCCATCACAACTAGGTTTGATCGAGTCATCCTTAAATAATTTGTATACCCAAGGCCGCAGAAATTTTACATATATCGAACTATCGGATTAAGTGCAGACTACTGCCATACTGTCCACTACTGTCCAGTCACTCAGTTACTTAAGTAATCACTGGTTTTGAAGCTCCATATTATATATGTAGGTATAGTTAGTGTCCCCTGTTTTAGAAAATTAGCACAACGTGTACAGCGCGAAATGCAAATGACTAACTCGCACTACTCCACAAACAACGTGAATAACAATAGTTTACAAGAATAATATTACGATACTGAAAAACGAGTGGATACTTGTGTGACTCATCTTAAAGAAACCTAGACGCGTACACTAAATAAATACAACACTTCTTATCTTCTAGTATACAAAGATAATTATATGTACATATAATGTCGTCACTATTTGATTATATGGCGTTTTGCTCTCACGCCGTGACTCATAAAATTGTCGTTATACTAGGAACATTTCATTTTTATTTTCATGTTAAACGTAAATGTGTAACATTGGTAGGACTGACGTAGAAAAATATAGAGCGTGCATTTAGCGCGTACAGTGGAAATATTGAGAATTAGTTTTTAAATTTGACGGTTTGAAAGTGCATGTAAGTTCTTGTTTTTTATTTGTTTGTTGCTAATGTGCGTCGTGAAATTAAATAAAAAATGGAGGATTTTATGGATGAAACGACTGCCACGACAAATTATTTTGATACGTAAGTAAATTTATGGCTTTGCATATCGTGCTATGTTATTTTTGTCTTTCAAAGTTGGAGGTCTTTGTTCACACGTTTGTTCACGCTATTTTATAATATATTGTATGCCTATATTGTAATAGTATTGTTTACAACTTGAAGAGAGATTAATATATTGTTGATGTACTTGAAATAATTTATACAGGTCTAGTAAAACAGTCTATAGTAACTGTAAAATTAAAAAGAAAAGGAATTAGAAATAATTTATGTTAATTTTGGTTATTTGTTTGCATTTTGTATTTCATCATAATATGTATAGTAATATTTACAAAATCATTAGTACATTCAATAGGGTATAAGTATAGTGGAAAACATTTTTACCGACAAATCTCCGTAAAGTACCCTATTCATAAACAATTCAATAATTTTAAGTCATTATAATTTGTTTTTATTATTGTAAATTCTTAAACTCATTTTCCCCCCTCAAAAATTCACATTCGCTCTGAATAAATATTAATATATCCAAAAAATGATATGCATGTATGCATAAAGTTTCTGCAGACTAAATTTTAAGGTTAGAAGTGAATACCGAAGTTCGAAGTTAATTAACAATGTTATTATACATGCATTATTACAAATGATTTTAATTTTATAAAAAGAGCAATGTGCTAAAGCATTATTATATATGATAATTATGGTATTAGTGTTAATATATAATATATAGAGATAAAGCGCTAAAATTATATTTGTATGTAATTATTTAATAATATTTCATTATATTCCTGTTTATTGCAATCAAAAACATGCATAAGCAGAATGACTACTTTCAAGATAATTGAAAATACAACATTGTATTGCTAATATTAATTAAATTGTAGAATTTATGTAAAACGAGAAAATTTCTTGTGAGAGGAAACTTTCAAATTTTTATAATTATTAATTAGAAATTTATTTGTCGATGCCTTTCATAAAGATATATTTTACGTGACTGTTTATATTTTGTTTCATAAACTACACTCAAGAAACGTTAAAACTACACATTGTAGTAATTCATTTAACGAAAGAAATTCATTTATCTGAAACGTTCTATATTATTTATTGCTTTTTCTAATATACATATATATGCTATAATTACTACTTTCCATATTTCTTTGTTCATTTAAATGATAATCATCTCGCTAAATAGGGATGGAGTTTATTGTCTACTTAATGGTTCTCAAATCTACCGCGAACTGTCCAAAATTAGAATTACAATTCGTTATGCATGTTTAGGATTTTGGCTAATTTTAGTACTTAAGGAATACAATGTATAATTTCTTTTTAATGTTAAGATAGTAATACCGTTATTTACAAACATATACCTGGCCTGCTGATGTATATCTTAGGGTCAAATCATAAATTTCTATATTTACTTTTCTATAACAACTATATTGTATCGTCACAATTACGTTCTTTGTATGCAGTTGAAAAACGTTTACTTCTGCGATCGCTAATTCTCCGGAACGCATTTATGTTTCAACGAATGTTCCCCACATGGGATGGGTTTTTGTCAGAGAAGGAGAATTATAAAAGACAGATGAAACGAAGGAGGAATACTTAGCACGAATCAGAAATTCATGAAATTTCCGGCGATCTAAAAGAACCGTTTCTCTTAACAATTTTGTATAATTGTAATCTTCAATAAATTTTAATACAAAGTTTAAAATAATTGAAAAATTCAATAATTAATTAAATTATTCGGTACTTAAGCTATCGATAAATACTTTCAAATATTTAGCGAATGCGTTCTACTTATTAGAATATATGATATAGCCTTTATAATTGATAATCTTTTTTTAGTAATAAGTTACAAACAGAGAAATTTCCTGAAACAGTAGTTTATTGATAATTGTTATATTATATGTATTAAACGGATTGCATTTTTAAATATTTCAATAGACTATATAAATACGTAAAACAAAAATGAAATGAAATGAATGAAAAATGAAGACGCAAAGAAACACATAAGAAGAGTTAGAATAACAATTTTCAGTATGCGGTATAAATTAAATATTCGCTAAAAATACGGTTATATTATATAGACTGTATTTTTTATCTTGAAAATTTGATTTGCTTTTCTGAAGCCGTAAAATGTTAATTCTTTGTCATCGTATTTGCAACACAAAAAGAGAGGTACCTCTTATAAAATATATGTATGTAGCATGTATATTGATCTTATAACACACGATTCGTCTTAAAATTGTTTTATAACAATAAAAAGACTAATTTCATAGCTATTCGTTGACTCCGCCTCCGTTATCTGCATTTTCACCATCAGACTCGTCCAACTCGAAGATTATTCTCAAAATCCATTATTTTCCATAATCATTAATTTTATTTATCTACCCCCAATTGAGAGGCACTGTGTTTGACCGATGTACGCAGTGTTCCGGCTCTTTACAACCCTGCTTTTCTATCTGTTTTTGTCGTTTCGTTCGGCTCTCCCTCCGTTCTTCGTCTACTCTTTATCTCTACCCCACCGCTCCGCCGCTCCACCGCTCCACCACCA